GCTAAAGGCTCAGGCTGACACACAGGAAAGACCTTAAGAGTTGCATTAAAATCTTGTCAAGGACACAGTTAACTTTTTTTTAATCTTTGATTTTTTACTTCTTGGAAAAACGAAATCCTGACGCATAAAACACATTTAAGGCAGCAAAAAAGAGAGGGAGTGATAAAAACTATTTTCCCTTTTCCTCATTCTCTCCACTCTCTTGGTGTTTCTATTTGTTCCCCAAATCTTTAGGCCTCAAACACAATAAGATAGCAGCGTCCTTTGACGTCAGAAGGACTCAAACCCAGACCCACGCTAACACTCTCTCTCTTTTGATTTAGGTTTGATTTGACATGATTGGAACCGATAAACATTCTTAAGAAAGTACTTGATAAGGAGAGAGTTTATCCGGTGTTCTGGACAAAAATGGCAAGGTCTTGGTCAGCTCAGGCTTCCTTTTAGGAAAGCCAAGCAACTGCGTGCATGTTTGTTTAAAACGTGACTTCTACAAACACGTACAGCCAAAAGCAATCAGTGAGCCAGTGTTTAGCTCATAAACAGGAAGTGACCATGGTGGCCGTTGCACAAGAGCTTGTACAACTGTCTGAGTGTCAGTGCTCGTGTACGGACGAGCAGACCTCAGAATGCTGGATTCAGTTCAAGAACTAACAGGAAATACTTCATTACTGGAACTAAGAGTGACCCAAACCCCTCCCTGATGCTTGAATAAAGAGCCACCGACTGGGAGTCGTGTGGGACGTGAAGGGTCGTTTGATCACAATGGATGGGATTCCTACATTAGCTCTTGGATATGTGTGTCTGTGCACAAATATTTCCATCCAATGCTTCAGAAGCAGTGAGAAAAAAGAGGGCTGGTGAAGAAGTAGTGTACTGCACACGAAAGAACCTTTGTAATCTGAGTATTTGCTGCAAACACATAAGCCTCAGACCTTTTTATTGAAAGGTGGTGAGAAAACTGCTGCTTTTATTGCGCACATTTTTGATTTGAAGTATTAATTAAAGATATTTTAAAATGCAAACAAAGAATTAAAGCACTTCTTTTTAATTTGAGCTTTTAATTCAAACATCCAAATAGAATTTTTTTTGTATTAATTTATTCTAGTTTATTCATATTAGGTCATGCTTCAATATGATCTAGGGGCTATAAATGGTTGACCAGAAAATCAAAGGGTTAAGAAAAGACATTTACTTAACAATGAAGATATGATTTTAAAATATATATTTTGTGATTCTACCAGCAAACTACCAGTCTTTAAAACCGATCAGACGTTCAACACGTTTTCTCGATAACTAAACTACGTCTTTTTGAGTATTCCATTATTTTGATGAACATTCTGACACTTTCCACCTGTTTATAGTTGGATAGAAACTACGCTGTTATATTAATTATCCATCAATACAGTTTATGCCAGAGGTTCAAAGAACTTCACAGAAATAATAAAAATGATAAAAAGACAGAGCTGTGAAAAGGTCTCTTTTTTACAGAAATCAAACCGTTATGCTTTTTTTTGTCACACTTACACACACACAGACAGAGATAGCTTGAGTCAACACAAAATCTATCCAAACCAACCTCCTGTCAAAATTAAATGAGCCCTAAAATGAGCAGCTGGTTGGGCTAATAATGGCGGCAACAACTGACAACCTTCTTGAGATCTTTTAGCCAACTAATGTTGTCAGAAGTTTTTTTTTCTCTACAGGTCTGGGTGTGGCTGGTGGAACTGAAGTCAACTTTACAAATTATATGGTTAATTCAAAATGGGAGTAAATATTTTCCCGCCACAATTGTAGGAGCCAAACAAGTATGTTTCACTTAGGGATGCACCGGTACCACTTTTGTCTAAACTGATACCGATACTTGGATCTGAGTACTCGCAGATACCGATACTTCTACCACACAAAAAATTCAATGAATTGAAATACAGGTTTTATTTTCTTCTCTGCTTTCAACAGGAAAAGACTGTGAGGTAGATACAAAATAAAATATATTAATAGAAATGATCACAAAACTAAGATATTAGGTGAACAGAAATGACAAGTTACAGTGAAGCCACTTTCAAGCAACTGCATTGGTATCGGCTCCTGGCATCAGTTCTTTTACCAATACCGATGCTGGTATCGGCCCAATTGGTGCATCCCTAGTGTCAATGTCACTGACTTATGCACACTTGGTGATGCGGTGCACGGGTGTCCAAGGTTATTTGCGTCTGCACAATCCTGTGTATATCAGGTGGCTGGAATGAGGATGATGGTGGGGTGAGCTTGGGATTGAAAGATTCTGTTCGTCGCACGTTTACACGCATTTATGGCTTTTGTTGTTGTATATATGAGCCTGAACGCCCGACTAAGTGAGAGTTGTGGCGCGTGATGGCCAGGAGGAATACACAAAGAAATGAAGTTAAACATTAGAGCGCACCATCAGTTTCTCCCAGCCTAACACAGCAGCAAAGTTAGTCATTTTTGATTTTCCCACAATACACACTATACATACATTGATGTCACATTAGCTCTCTATAGTACTCTTCTTCCTCACTTTCTTTTAACTCTTTATTTCATGAAGTTACAACAAAACATGACCTACAGATGTTCTCTTGTAACCCCTTGCTCATGGAACAGGCCTGAGCCTTTGGTTGGTTTATTTTTTTTAAATATTTCCATAGAAGCATGGTTGAAAAGCAATGTCTGACTTTCACTGGTTAAATTTAATACACTTTTTATTTATTATTACTTTTGTCAGATTCAAGTTAGTTCTGTGACCATTGTGGCTATTTTATTGACCAAAGGGGACCAAAAATTGTGTCCACGTCTGTGTAACTTGGAATAGAGGTGATAAAGAAAGATAGCCATGTAAATGTGATTTTATTATTCAAGACTTGACAAATTGAATTAAAACTCTTCACCTTCTTAAGGTCTTCCACCTGCTTTCAAAGTTTAACATTTCACATATCCCCACACAGACAGCAGAGTCGGTGACTAATTCCTGTCCTGGCTGTGTGTTGGTTGCTATGGTGACGCATCAACAAGTTCAGGAGACATCCTGTCACTAATTACATCTTTACCAGGAAATTTACAGAACCTTCTGCTTGTTTATGAACCCAAACATGCAAACAATAGAACAAAGTTCATCATGTCTATAGTCTCTCAGGTTATTCAGACTGGGCATGTGCTGCCACAGTTCCAGCAGTACTGCAGGCAGACTCTTGAGTGTCCTACGAAACATAACTGTTTTGGTTTGTGAATATGAAAGTATTAGTGTATCTGGAAGTTTCTACAGTGGAGGCGAGCAGATGTATATTTATAGATATGTCATCAGAAAACTGAACAAAACACCGATCAGAGCTTTTGTCAACTTAATACAATGGGATTTTGGTCTCTAGTTAGCCTCCCAATTTAATAAATCTCAGTTTTACCATAATTTTAAAATAAATATTCATCTATTTATTCATTCACTGTAAACACCAATCTCATTTGTTAATCTTCTAAGTTTGTGTTCACTCTGATGAGAAGGTACAATGAAAGGAATCTGATTCTTATATAATTTTTATCTTAAAAAAAGCTCACTTTAAAAAAATAATGCATGAGACAATTTTAAAGCTTTAACTCACTGATTCAATACATCTACTGTGATCTATTGTATAAATCAATGCCTCGCGCTCCTGTTTCAGGAAGTAGAAGGTGGCTGGAGGAGAGGGGAGCAGAAAACGGCATGACTTGGGAGTCTTACTCTTTATTATTGTCATTATCCAAACATCTCGACTCTGATTGGATAACAGTAACATGACACAGCAACAACAGCTGTCCCTGTCGTGAGCCAAGATGGATAAGTCCATAAATGCTAGTTTTCAGTGTGACGTAAATCTGACTGGCGTTTTCTGAGCCGAGCGTTTCTCCGTTTACTTTCTTTCAACAGCTCGTGCAGGAAATCAAGATAACCTAAAAGACTATTTTCACCTTCAGCCTCAGAGATTGAAAAATTACCCTGTAATCTTTTAAAAGGTTAAAAAACAGTGAGTGGAGGAAGCCAAGAACTTGGCTCCCAACTCTGAATATTTGTTAAACCATGTTTTCTTTTTCTTTCACTTCTAAGATGAAGCGTATAATGAGTGCAAGCTGCAGATCCTGCACACAGTCCATCATCATCTCTAAATTCAACGTTTGACCTTCATGTGTGAGTCTTCAAATTCAACTTAGTGCCAGAAACCTCAGTCATACAGCTGCATCACTCACTCCTTACAATATTTGCAGTGAGAAATTCTTAAAATACAATGGAGAACCAATGAGGGAGGAGAACAGGATGGAAATTTCCATCCAAAACCATTTCAGGTTCACGGGCTCTGCCTGGGCCATAAACAGGTCAAGTCTGAGTTAGCTAGCCCTCAAGATCGGCCTTAGAAACCACCTGTGTTTGTCATTCAAAGAGAGACAGGGCGGATAATCAGTGGAAAATTACCCGTCCCGCACTCAGTCGCACACAAACACACATGATCAGGGGCCACTACATATTTATCTCACTCTATGGTTATAAGACAGCTTGCGTTTTTAATTAGCACGGGTACAAGAAGGACGGGGGTGGTGGTGGTGGTGGGCATGGTTGTGTTGTCAGGACGTAGCAGCACGCAAAACTACGCAACCAAAGACATCTGATGGCGTGTGTTCACATCCATGCACATTTCCGAGAAAATAAGAGTGACAGGTCCAGCAGGCCAAAGAGATGGACGAGGAGCTTTGTTTGGTGCATGTGTGTGTGTGTGTGTTTGCACCTTAAATTAAATTATGTAAAGAAATAAAGGCTATTGTGCATTCTGTAAAACATCCTTAATAGTTTGGAAACACATGTTTTAAGCTGCAGGTTTGTTCATGTTTCTAATCAGCAGGAGATGACTTATTCATTCTCAGATCAAAAAGACAGAAACTCCCTCATTGATCTTAAGATTAAAGCTGGTTAAAAAACAATATCCCAAGTTTGCAATAAAAGCAGCTCCTAAAAAACATGTTACCTGAGTTCCAAGGCAGGCCACCATCATGTGGGTGAGCAGTTTGGCAGCAAACATGGGGAAACGAGAGCACAACACGTGGGAAATGATGGCCAATGCAAACCCTGCGGAAGGGGAATCAGATGGTTTTATTAATAAATGAACCAAATGACTTCATTCAATCACCCAAATGATGGAAGGATGTGGTGTTTTTGTACCTGAGATACAAATAAATCCTGATGTGTAGAAGGCCTCGTTGTAAGACGCAAGCAACGCAAACTGCACATGGGCTGCATAGATGGATAAGTGGGAGCACGCACATTCCACAAAATCCCCACTTTCCCTCACCACCCTGCAGTACTGACCATCAGATGACCAGCTAAAGCAAAGGAGAAAAACCAGGGTGAGACAATTAAAAGACACAGTTTTCTGCCCTTTTATTCTCCTTGTGTGACATTGTCTTTCTCTTTTATGTTTTACTCTCTAGATTACTGCACCGTCCAAACTAAACCTGCCAAATCTTAACTTGTAACAGAGTGTTCCAGCCAAGACCTATTCCATGCCCCAGAAATGCCCTGAAGTCAGAGCACAGCCGAGTTAATGTGAAGATATAAAAACAGAGATAAAACTCTCATGGCCACGGGGAGACTGAACTTGGACTTTCGCCCTTCGGTTTTTAATCACCTGGTGAGGAGTAAAGATGACAAACAGGCTGGCTTTTGCGTGACCTTCGGTTGATTCTTCCTCACTAGCTTCTCTTCATGCTGCTGTTTCTACCAATGCTGTCCTACCCTGGACCCCGTGATTACCTTTTTCTTATTGTTTTATTACTTTACATTTTTTAAACAAAAAATGTCACCAAATTTTATTACAATATTTTTAAATCATTTTTTTATTTGTTCTTGTGATTTTTATCTTGAGAGGCATTGTGAAAAAGAAAAGCTTCTTCTTTCAACTTTTAAAAGCTTAAAGAAAAAGCCTGTTACAGTCTCAGAAGAGGATCAGTTAGAACGAAATTTGAGGTGTTTGTGTGCTTTTTGTGAGCCTGAAGGCAAAAAACACTTTGACTCAAAGGGTTTGAAATGAAGTAAGTCAACGCATCTTTTGCAGCAGTAATGTCACGCTGCCTCCTTCACAACCCTCGACATCCTCCGGGGGAGGACCACACACTCACTCAGGCCAACCGAACTCCACTACCCAGCATTCCCAGTGCCAGTCTTCCGGCCCACGTCACCCGCCACATCTACATAAGGAAGTACAGCTCAACGCCAAACCACTCAGTCATCGTTCTAACCGAACTGTGCTCCGAGTTCTGACCAGATCCAACCCGATCACTCAGCCCGTTCTGACCAGATCAGCCCGTGCTACTCACCCTGCCGACTCAAAGTAAGTCAGCTTGTTACCTTTTGGAGCCGCCGTGCTCTCCAGTCATTATACGGTTTGACTCCTAGAACAAACTGCGTGTCAACCTGCCCAGCGTCAGTCACTCCGCCCTTGGGTTTACAAACACGCTACATCCCGAACTCTCGCTCCGGTTCAGCTCAGCTCGAGTCAGGCCTTACAGGATGACTGAGTCTAATATTGACCCGGTGGAGCTTGAGTCCCTGCGATCGCAGGTGATCCAGATGGGAGCTACTGTGGGACGCCTAGCTGACAAGGTGGAGTCCATAGCCACAGTAGTTCTCCAGCTTTCCTCTGCGCAGCAGCAGCAGCAGACCTCCAGAGAACGGGAGTTACCGATCCTCAGCCTCCCGGAGAAGTGGGACGGTACGCACGGCTCCCCTGAGGGAATGTTAGCCACACTCGCCATGACTTTCGAATGTCAGCCCCACCGCTATGCCACAGCCCGCTCCCGCGTGGCGCTGTTCACCTCCCTCCTCACTGGCCAAGCTCAGGAGTGGGCCGCAGCCCTGTATAACAAGAAATCGGAGGCCTGCAAAGACTATGATGTTTTTGTGGCCGAACTGAGGAGGGCTTTTGTTCCCCCCAGCGGCGAGATATCGACGGAGGCCCAACTCCTTCATCTCCGACAGGGGAGTCAGACTGTAGCCCAGTACACATCCCGGTTCCGAACCACGGCTGCCAAACTGCAATGGGGGGATGATGCCCTGAAAGCAGTCTACCTTGAGGGGCTCTCCCCACGTATCCGAGACGGGATGATAGGGAGGGAGACCCCAGAGACCCTGGACGAGGCGGCTGACCTCGCTCTTCGGATGGACCTGCGTCTTTTTACCCGTCAACCCGCTGAACCGCCTGTAACGACGACCTCAGCACCAGCCCATCCTCGCCCAGTCAGTTTGTCCCCTGACGAACCCATGCAGCTGGGACACCTGAACCCAGGAGAGAGAGAGAGACGCTTTAGGGAGGGGCTGTGCACCTACTGTGGTGCTCCTGGCCATCAGCGTATCATCTGTCCCCTCCGGCCGGGAAACGCAGACTCCAAGTAGGCAGCAGCAGAGGGGTCCTACTTGGAGTAACCGGAGCCCCCTCGACCCGCACCTTGCTCACAGTCACTCTTCATCTTCCCCAGGGACCCGACGAGCTGGAGGCACTCCTGGACTCCAGACCAGCCGACTGCTTCATGGATCAAGATCTAGCCTCTCGACTTCAGGTTCCCCTGTCCTCCCTCTGCCAGACCATTCCCGTCACCTCCGTGGATGGAACCCCTATCAGACCCTATCCAATCCGCCAACAGACGGTTGGTCTCCGCTTGGACATACTTCCCCACTCCGAGACTCTCCGGTTCCTCATTGTGACAGCTCCTTTGTCCCCCCTGATCCTGGGTCACTCATGGTTCCTGCGCCATAATCCCCAGATCTCCTGGTTGTCTGGCCGAGTGCTTACCTGGGGTGCTGCCTGCCATTCTCATCGACCTCCTCAAACCGACTCAGAGCCTGGCCACCCAGTTCCTGAGGATGTCGATAGTTCACAGTTCCCCTCCTGTTATCATGACCTGGCTCAGGTTTTTTCAGAGTCCTACCACCGTCTTGCCTCCTCACCGCCCTTATGACCTGGAGATAAAACTCCTGCCCGGTTCTGTTCCACCACGGGGCCGCTTGTACTCCCTGTCCCCAGCAGAGACTCAGGCCATGGATGCCTATATCGCCAACGCTCTTCAACATGGGTTCATCCGCCCTTCCACCTTGCCAGGAGCCGCGGGGTTCTTCTTCATGAAGAAGAAGGAAGGGGGTCTTTGACCCTGCATTGACTATCGGAGTTTAAATAAGATCACGGTCCGAGATCGTCACCCCTTGCCTTTGATGACTACCGCCCTGGACGTAGTGTCCCAGTCCACCATCTTCACCAAGTTGTACCTGCGCAGTGCTTACAATCTAGTCAGGATAAAGCAAGGCAACGAGTGGAAGACCACCTTTATCACCCCGACAGGCCACTGGGAATACGTAGTGATGCCTTTTGGCCTATGCAACAGCCCCGCAGTTTTCTAACGCCTGATCACGGATGTCCTGAGGGACAAGTTGGGCAGATGGGTTTTCGTTTATCTCGATGACATATTGATTTATTCCCGAACCCTGGCGGAGCACGTCACACACGTCCGAGCAGTGCTTTCCTGGTTGATGGAAAACTGGCTCTACTGTAAGCTAGAGAAATGTGCTTTTCATCAGGAGACCATTTCCTTCCTGGGGTTCGTTGTCTCATCTCAGGGGTTCTCAATGGACCCCCAGAAAGTCCAGGCTGTGGCCCAGTGGCCGATACTCACTTCCCTGAAACAGCTTCAGAGCTTCCTGGGTTTCTCGAATTTCTATCGCCGCTTTATACGTGGTTTCAGCTCCATCGCGGCTCCTCTCACTGCCCTAACCAGATTGTCAGACCAGACCCGCCCATTCCGTCTAACTCCTGAGGCCACACAGGCTTTCCACACCCTGGTCCACCGCGTCACCACTGCTCCCATCCTCGTACATCCGGATCCAACAAGACCTTTTGTAGTGGAGGTGGACGCTTCTGAGGTGGGAGCAGGGGCGGTCCTGTCCCAACGCGGTCCTGACTCTAAGATTCATCCCTGTGCCTACTCTTCCTGTAAATTCTCTCCAACCCAAAGTAATTACGGGGTAGGCGACAGGGAGCTCCTGGCCATTAAATGGGCCTTGGAGGAATGGCGGCAGTGGTTGTTGGGTACATCGGACCCATTTACCATTTGGACGGAGCACCAGAACCTCATCCACATCCAGAACGCTCGACAACTCAATCCCTGTCAGGCCCGCTGGGCACTGTTTTTTGAATCATTTCACTTCGACCTGGCCTACCACCCTGGTTCAAAGAATCTGAAGGCTGACACCCTTTCCCGCCATTACACCCAATCTGCACCCGTCAGGGAACCGCCACCCATTCTCCTAGCCCAGAAGTTTATCGCAGCTCTCCACTGGCCAGTAGAGGACGCCATACGGGCTGCCTTGCCCACCGATCCCGCACCTGCCGATGCGCCTTCCGACCGGCTTTATGTGCCTTCCACCTGCCGCTCTGAAGCCCTGGCCTGGGGGCATGCATCCCGCCTGGCTGGTCACCAAGGGGAGACCCGAACCTTCCAGTTCCTACAACATGCGCTATGGTGGCCCTCTATGGCCAAAGATGTCCAAGAATACATGGCCGCCTGTCCCACTTGCGCCCGCTCCAAGACCCCAAACCAACCCCCGACTGGAGATCTACAACCTCTCCCAATTCCACACCGACCATGGTCCCACATCGGCCTAGACTTTGTCACGGGGTTACCTCCTGTCATCCAGCTCGAGGCCATCCTAACCATCGTGGACAGATTCTCAAAGGCGGTCCACCTAGTGGCTCTTCCTGGCCTGCCCACAGCCAAGCAGATGGCCGAAATCCTCCTGGAGCAGGTGGTGCGCCTCCATGGGTTTCCCCAGGTCATTGTCTCAGATCAGGGACCCCAGTTTATGTCAAGATTCTGGAAGGCCTTCTGTCGGCTGGTTGGTGCCAGTAGTAGCCTCTCCTCTGGCTACCACCCCCAAACTAATGGGCAGACTGAGCGTGCAAATCAGCAACTTGGTCGGTACATCTGCTGCTTTGCCTTGTCCCAACCAACCACTTGGCCCAAATACCTCTTGTGGGCGGAGATGTCCCACAATCTCCACGTCTCCTCGGCCACTGGTCTCTCCCCATTTGAGTTAGTTTATGGATACCAGCCCCCTCTCTTCCACCAGCAGGAACCTGAGACTGAGGTCCCCGCTGCCCAGACCCTGGTCCGGCGTTGCCAACTCGCCTGGGTCCGTGCTCGGGCAGCCATCAAGCGAGCTAACACAGAATACTCTCGCCAGCACAAACGTCGCCACCGGACTGGGCCAACTTTTCAACCTGGCGACAAGGTATGGGTGTCTACCCGGAACATGCGCCTACCCGCTGGCTCCCGGAAGCTCACTCCACGATTTTTGGGGCCCTACCCTGTGGAGAGGGTCATTAACCCGGTGGCGTATCGTATCCGCCAGCCCAGGCCTCTCAAAGTCCATCCCGTCTTCCATGTGTCCCAGCTAAGACCAGTACGGACTTCTCTCCTCGCTCCTCCTCCGGATCCCGAGCCTCCGCCTCGAGGGGTTGGCGAGGATGGGCTTTTCAATGTGCGGCGCCTGCTGGACGCCCGTCGCTGTGGCAGAGGTTGGCAGTACCTAGTGGATTGGGCGGATTACGGCCCGGAGGAACGCTCCTGGGAGCTGACGAGTGCAATCATGGACCCCTCGCTCATCTCGGACTTCTGGGGCCGTCCCTCCGGTGGGGGGTCCTGTCACGCTGCCTCCTTCACAACCCTCGACATCCTCCGGGGGAGGACCACACACTCACTCAGGCCAACCGAACTCCACTACCCAGCATTCCCAGTGCCAGTCTTCCGGCCCACGTCACCCGCCACATCTACATAAGGAAGTACAGCTCAACGCCAAACCACTCAGTCATCGTTCTAACCGAACTGTGCTCCGAGTTCCGACCAGATCCAACCTGATCACTCAACCCGTTCTGACCAGATCAGCCCATGCTACTCACCCTGCCGACTCAAAGTAAGTCAGCTTGTTACCTTTTGGAGCCGCCGTGCTCTCCAGTCATTATATGGTTTGACTCCTAGAACAAACCCCGTGTCAACCTGCCCGGTGTCAGTCACTCCGTGCTTCGGTTTACAAACACGCTACATCCCAAACTCTCGCTCCGGTTCAGCTCAGCTCGAGTCAGGCCTTACAAGTAAAAAGCATCTAAATGGAATAATCCAGCTTCAGCAATGATTTACATAAAACTGAAAGTCAAAGCTTTTTCCTCTTTTGCATTTTGCTTATTTTAACTCATTTAAGTTAAGAAAAAAATCAGGTTTTAATCGTGCCCCACCCCTCTGTCTAATGTTTGCTAACATTTCCTGGAAATTCAGCCAGTTGCTGCCATTCTTAAACTGTATTCCTTTTTCCAAGAAAAACTGTAAATTCTGAGGGACTAAGGCTGAAAAACCAAAACTTGCTCACAAATACTCAGAGGGACCAACAGCGCCAGTGCTGGACAGCCTCGCCTCAGTGTACCCCAGGGCAGCTGCGGCTTTTTTGTAGTTCATCAGCTCAGTGGCTTAGGGTTAGGGTATGAGTGTCCGCCCTGAGACTGGGAGATCGTGGGTTCAAATCCATAGTTGGGTCACACCAAAGATTCTTAAAAGATGGGACCCAATGCATCCCCCCTTGACACAGCATTAAGGGGTTAGATTGGAGTTCCAAATGGTTCTCGAGCGCAGCTCACCGCGCCCCTAGGGGATGGCTCAAGTGCAGAGAACAATTTTTACCAGAGTGTGCCGACTAATGGGATTTTAATCTTTAATCACCACCGGTGATGAATGTGGGTGTGCATGGGTGAATGACTGATTTTGATGTTTGGGGGGTTTTAGGACTCTAAAAGATGCTCTATCAAAAACAGGCCGTTTGTTACTGATTGGGATTTGTGTCTAAACCATCTGGAGATAAACGATTCTGCAGATACCAGGGGAGAAGTAGAAATCTCTAAATGCCATCAGCTCCAGAAAATCAGACTTTTGTATAATTTTGGTGCTTTGTGGCAAAAGACTCCCAAAGAATCTCAGTCAGAACTGTGCAGACATGCATTTCAAAAATAACCCCCTGATAAGGTGTGTTTCAGTGCATTAACCTTGCAGTGGTCTGATTCCACAGAAGGCACACGGACTCTCCGGGTTTAATTTGCTGACCGGAGGAGTGGATGCGATAAATCACCTCATTACCATCTTCTAGGGGTCGTGACCCCCTCTCCTGGAGACTGACTGAGAAAACCTAAAAAAACATAACAGGCAGCAAAGGAGAGTTCACCTACATGGTCTCTGAAAAAAAAGAAAACTTTTTATGCAAGGACAATACTGCCACCTGCTGTGTAATGAAATAATGTTTCTACATGAACCTTTCCACTGAGAGCTGAGGCTGAATCATTAAGGAACCAATGTTCGGTTCTAAACTCGGTCATCTGGATCCCGCTGAGGTTCCTGCAGTCTGGCGTAGAGGCTGCTGGCACCGGCAGCAGCCTGTCAGGAAGCTGGAAGAAGTCTGAATTCTGGCCTCTGAATTTGTGCCCGTTAATTTGCGTGGGGTACCATCGGAAGGAAGAGATGACCAGAAATGGACACGAATCATGGATGGCACTCAAGCTGGTGGAATCATACAAATAAAATAAAAAAATTAAAAACTAATAAAACCATGAATGGGATAGAACTGCTTACATTTTATTTATCTTTACTTGATTTAAACTTTTGTTCTTACATCTGACATTGGCTGTGTGCGAGGAGGGAGAACGCAAACCGCTCCGCCACCTCAGCAAGGTGACTGAGGCCTAGGGTGTCATCGCGACTGGGATTGGCTAAAGCGCACAACAGGTCATAGGTCAAATTCCTGCTGCTGTCTTGTAAAGGGACCTTCTCAGCCTCTGCAAGAACCTGGAGAAGCGGAACCACACAGAAAAACACCAGTCATGCATCTACCACAGATCCATCATCGTCATCTATTATGGCTTCTTTCCTTCCTGCCTTGATTAGAGAATCCCAAATAAACCATATTTACATTTACACATTATCATTATATTTTAGTTCGATCAGGGGCCCATTTTCATAAATCAGAGTTGTAATCCTCTCACCTTTCCCAGAGCTTCAAGCATTCCAGTCATCTGCTCTTGACTGAACCTTGAGGCTAATTTAGCCTTAAGCTCTTGCAGCACAGGATTCAGTACAGCTGAGTCAAGAGGCTGATGCAGCTGGTCCAACAGGCCCCACACGGCCTCACTGGCTGCATCTGACACCAGGGTCACGTTAGCCAGTCCAAACTGGGAATCAACACCGGCTCCTCCTGAGGGATTGTAGAGCTGCACCTGGAGGCGCTTTGGTGTGGGTGAAGGCGAGGCCAAATCAGGAGTCAGGTAAATGTCTAATGATGTCTTTTGGCTCCCTACTTCAAAGGTTACTTGGCCCTCCTGTTTAGGAAAGTCCATCCCTGATTTAGCTGGCCAGATTATGTAGGGACCCACCATCTCTTCCCTGGGAAGCTCCTACAGGAAGAAAAAATCCAGTTTTAGGATTTCATGACTTCAAAGCAGCAACATGAACCTATAAGTCAACACATTCCGTTTCTACTGAGTGAAGCTGACAGTATGTTTGTGGTAAAAGCTTTAACATGAGCAGCCAGAGCTTTTGTTATACAACATTGTCTCCATTAGGAGATGAAAGGACCTGTTAAAAAGAGTGCAGATGCCACAAAACCTCACCTCACAGGAACACAGTGAGAGAATAAAGGAGGATGAATAAAAATGTGTATGTTTTGTGAAACGTCTTTTCTTACCACAGTGCGGTATTGCACCGTCATGGCTGAAGCTGTGCTCGCCTGTCTGTAGATCTGCAGGCTGAGCTTTGTGGTCACCGGGGTCGCGATGGGAAGTCTATGACCCACCGCGAAGAACACCACACCTTCAGGGTTGTCGCTCTTCGCCAGCGTGACGTTTGCAAATCGAGTGCTCTCATTAATGGCAGCTCCAGCACCCACTTGATAAATCTCCACCAAGAACCATGCCTGATACTCTGGTACCTACAAGAAAGCATATCAGTGGGTTTTAACTCAGTTCACCATTTTACACTAGATTTATTATTTGGGGTCAAATAATATGAAGCTAATTCAGTGATCTGATGCATTAGCTGGGTATTACCGGATCATCTATGACCTCCAGAGTGATGACACAGATTGTCTCTCCTCTCCTACAGATGGCTGATCCTGATGTCTGCACAAGCTGCATAGTCAGGTTCACTCCATCGTTCACCAGACTTAAAGAATCCTTGCTGAAGGTTGTCCTCCAGAACACTTGCAAATCCTCAAAAGCTCTGAGCGGATGGAACAAGTGCACAAATAGTAAAACTGATTATGGTGGCTGCAGAAGAGGGATCAATTTCTGGCCACATTTTATCTATAAGTGAAATCAAAGAGTTAAAAATGTTTTCTACCTGTTTTCTTGTCTCTGCAGGTAAAGCCGAGCAGTTCTGTTCTTTGAATCCTCCTCCAGAACTTGGCCCAATAGGGAGTTAAAGGTAAAGCCTATAATCCCGTTTTGGTAATCACTCCCTGTAACAAACACATGCAAAAGATTGACAGAGAAGTGAGAATAATAGGGTTAAAATGCAAACTTAAAACAAAATTATTTTTCACTTTTTCACATAAAAATCTGTTGAAGATCAATTTAATATAATCTGGAATAATGTGATTATGACATGTTCCTGGACACAATGTATTACAAATGTGTTTAGCATTCAAATTGTGATTTAAAAACCAAGTTCAATTGTTTTTTCAACACATTTGCAGCAGTTTCTGGTATAACTGAATGCTTGTGAGTCAATCACTGTAGGATAAAAGCTCTGGCGCTCCTGCTTCAGGAACTAGAAGTGATCCAGAGGAGAGATGAACAGGCAATGACAGGATTTGGAGTCTTATTTCCTAATATTCAGAAATCTTGCCTCTGATTGGCTAACAGCAACGTGACTCCACCGCTGACTGTTTGCTTTGCAGCATTTATCTTTGCACATAATTCAAGCCTGAAGGAGTTCTGCTGTGTTGTGGAGCTGCTAATGCTAATGGTTAGCTTCTACTAGCTGAGACGTGCTTTGCTGTTTCCTGGATGCTGAACCAACAACAGCCTTCCCTGTGGTGAGGCAAGATGGGTGAGTCCATAAATGCTAATTTTCAGTGTGACTTGGATCTGACTGGCTTTTCTGATTGGAGAGTTTTCTAGTCTAGACTTTTTTCTATCAGCAACTAATGCAGGAAATAGGAGCAGAAGGCTATTTTCATGTTTAGTCTGCTTGTTAAACTGAGACTGATTATATTTAAAAAACAACACGTAAAAACTGTTTCTGCTCTTTAAAATAAATTAAAACTCTTTGTTTTTATTGTAAGAACATAAACCCATAAAAACACATATATGAACACATTAATTATTACATTTAATTATACTTTCATAATTTGTTAAAATTATGTTTTAGCTTATTCCTTCGGTTTGCTCTTGTCAAGGCAAAATGCCAGTTTTCGTCATTTGAAACAAAACATTATTAAAGGAAGAAAGACATATTTTCTCTTATTTACCAAGGATAGTGATCTTGACAAACGCTCCAAAACCCTGCTGGGTACTGTCTGTGATCTGCACGCCTCCTTCTGGATTACTGAGGTAGATAAAGAACACTTCCTGTCCCTCTGGCTCTAAGTCATCCAGGATGATGAGGACAACTTCCGCCTCCTCCTCACCAGCCTGCAGAGATACTACGGTGGACTCCAGTCTGAAGTCCTGCTGCTCTTTAGCAAGAGTACCAGAAGGTTTGAGAATGAAAGGAGGAGCTGTTGTGCTTCCATCTGAGTGAAACCAAACAGAGACACAAGTTTGAGCAAAAAGACAAACTTATATGTCAGAAACAAACTATCTTTACAAAGAATGACCTCCATAAGCTCGGACCCGAACGCTCACAGCCCCTGAAACATCATTAGACCTGCGGACACGTAAAGTAACCCTCCTCTCCTGCTGGCTTGCCTCGTCTCGGTCCTCTGGTACTTGGACAAGTTCAGGTCCAATACTCAAAACTCCACCAGTTGCATCACTGGCCAGGATGGTGACGGTAGCAACGCTGTGCTGGGGGTTGAGTCGAGGAGGCGTTTTGGCCCAGTTTAAATCTGGATTAAGAACCTGAACATGAGTTAAATTAACATGAAAGTACTCGTCGGGCTCTGAGAGGGAGTCATCCAGAACCGAAAGGAAAAATGAGGCGTTTGTTTGATGAGGTGAGGCGAAAACCAAACGGCCGTCTGGCACCGCAACAAAATCCTGCCCTGCTGCTGCACTCCCTTCAGACGTCCTATAGGACAGGTGAGTGGTGTTGCTTCGGGAACCATAAAGCTTCTGAATGTAAAGCGTTATAGTCTGAATGTCCTCGGCAATGACAAGCTGTCGGGAATCAGGGGCAAACTGGAAAATTCCCAGTGGCTCCACTTCTGCCACTGTAAAGCCTGACCTGTTCAGATAAAAAGAGACAGAAGAAGAGGTCAGGAGGTGTAATCAGGAGTTCACAGGCACATCTGATTAAAATCACAGCTACCTGAGCCTGACAGCCCCAGTGCTGGAGGTGGCATTAGTGAGGTGCAAAGCAGAGAACGTGGCCTCGAATGCATCAGGAACAGCAATGAAAGACATCGATTTATCCCTCTCTCCATGCACCAGAGTCAGTGAGCCTGGATAAATGAAACAGGACTCTGTTAAAAACGGTTATACAGTAACTGTTAAGCAACTCAGTAACCCTAACCTGAGTTCGGGACAATAGATCCAGCTTTGAAACCAGGTGGGCTCTGTCCTGCAGGAAAACCAGCTTTCCATTGAACCAAGATGTCTCCAAACAGACCTGTACGTGTCAGCTTGGCCTCACACATCCCTGTTTCTACAATAGAAACCTGCAGAGCTCGTGAGGCAAAGCCAACCTGCAAACACGAGTAAGCAAAAAGCCATTTAAACATTTCTGTCAACATGTAAAATGACTGTATATGCTATTGTTTTTTGTTGGCATTAAAAAACCATATCTAGCTAATTTTATTGTTAGAGGCCTAATATAAATTGCAAGAGTTTATAATTAAATGTTTTTGTTTAAGTTTTGAATGTTTTAAGAAAAATTTAAAGCTTGTTGTTGGTTTAACATCCAGGAAACAGCAGAGAACATCTCAGTTACTAGAAGCTAACCATTAGCATTAGCAACTCCACCACACAGCAGAACTCCTCCAGGATTGTGTCAAACATGACTACAGAGTAAACAAATATTGCTGACAAGAAAGATTCCACTTTCGTTGTGCAATATGTTTCCATCACCTTGCTTTACACATCACATTCAATAGGCATTCACCCATCTTGGCTTGAAACATAGAAGTCTGTTGTTGATTTAGTGATCAGGTGAAAGCAGGGTGTCTTGGCTAGTAAAAGCTAACCATTAGCATTAACTCTACTGCACAGCAGAACTCCTCCAGGGTTGTATTATTAGTGGAGGCAAAACATCAACGTTGCAAAGCAAGCAGAGTAAGTTGTAGAGTTGGTGTTAGCCAATCAGAGAGAGAGAGAGAGATGTCCAAATATCAGAAAACAAAACCCAAATCCTGCTGTCTGAAGCTCAACACCAATGTGGCTCATTTGTAGTTCCTGAAACAGGTGCATCAGTGTCTTTTTTTTCCAGGGTACGACTTACAAGGCATTCATTCCTACTTGAGATCACTGCACTTGAGAGGTGGTTCTATTCTGATCTCTAAACTTTTTGAAACAGTTTGTTTTAGACACATAAGTCCTAAGTCCTAAGGGCCTTACATGGACAAGCACCATTATACATTGGTGATCTTCTTAGTCCCTACACCCCCAGCAGGTCCCTGAGGTCCAGTGATCAAAGCCTACTGGTTGTGCAGCACCAGGCTAAAGACCAAAGGTAACAGATCATTCGCTGCTGTGGCCCCCAGACTCTGGAACTCTCTCCCCCTGAGCCTGAGATCAGTGGACTCAGTGGTCTCCTTCAAAAAGCAGCTGAAGACTCACTTGTTCAAGCTGGCTTTTAAATAACCTTCATCACCCTTTTCCTTCTTCTGCTCTCTCTACCTACTTCACCTTCCTCAGGATCCACCGATTTCCCTGTTTCCTATTAACACTCTCTCTCTCTTTCTTTACATTTTTTTAATCAAAATTGTCTATTTTTGCTTATTTTAAATATATTTTTAATCCTTTTCTGAATTCTTTTTTAAATTTTACATTTTTTGTTTTTCTGAAGCGCCTCATGATTTTTATCTTGAGAGGTGCTATAGAAATGATATTTTTTTTCTTCTTCCTCTTCGTCTTCTAAAACCAAACACTGACAGAAAATAGACAGGGTTTTTTTGTATGCATTTGGAGTGTTTAAAAAAAGCCGGAGGAGTTTTGCATTAAATGTATATGTTCTCCTTCTCTTATAAATTTACTATTGAATGTTTGATGGTTTTCTGTTAGAAACTAAGCAAACAAGTTAAAGAAAACACGTGCATTTCATTTTGAATCCATACCAGAGAACGTGGGCCGATGCCTCGCTCTGGCACATTTCTTGTTGTAAAATTTGACATGCTCTGCTTTCTGAATGCCTATCAGCTGCTGCAATAATAAAAACAGATAAATATTTAAAAGAAGGAATATTCACCTCTGAGCTGGCTGCTTCTTCTGGTACCGTCACCATAGCAACGCCGGCCTCAGGAAGGAGGCGAGGTGGAGAGCCTTGGACAGCACTGACTAGTCTAACATCAGTGAGCTCTGCTGAGAAGCTCACACCCACTGGCAAAAACGCCTACAAGACAAGAAGTGAAGCAAGCTAAAGTCCTTCAAAAGACAAGTTTTCTTTTTTCTTTTTTTATTTTGAAAGAACCAAACTAGTCAATGATGACAGAACAAACATAACGCCTCCCTCCCTTACCTGGCTGTTGATGGGTAAAGTGATCTGACTGAAGCTCTGTCCTTCTATCAGGAGCAGCCTTCCTTCAGCCCTTCCTCCAAGGATCTCCTGGATGTCCATCACTTCATCCACTCTTCCACTGATCTTATAGCCCACGCTAGCATTCCCAAACAGCCCCGCAAGCCGAGTCACATTCACAATCAGAGCTCTGCTGACCATTGACCCTGAACCCACCACCACCACAGACTGTTGCAAGGGGTTCAGGAAAAACATACCATGGGGATCATCATTAGCAGGAACCCTACAGGAACCAAAGCACAATTGGTCACAAATTCTCCATTCACCAGGCTGTTTAAAATGATTAAAATAACAAACCTTATGTGGGTTCTGGTGAGGTTTGGGTTTGCATCCAGAGTAGCTCCACCCTCCACTGATGTGAGCTGGAGAATGTAAAGCTCCTCCAGCTCTGGCACAGTATCAGGCATGAGGCTGAGAGTTATTGCTGCCTCTCTTTGGCCTTCTGGGATCATCACTGAGCCAGATGAGGCCAGAAAGTCACCTGTGATATCCGAATCACTCTGTACCTGCCAGTGAACCTGTAAAACATGGCTGTGTAAACAATTTAAGTGGTATACATAATACAGATTATACTGTAAATGTTTGATGTAATCTTACCGTGATGTTGCCCATGACACCTTCTCTGCGTGTAATCAACAAAGAAAGGTTACGTGGGCCTTCAGCCTCTGTGGACTCATTGATGACACGTTCTCGAAGAGCATCAGTGGTAAACTGGACTATACCATTCGGGTCACCAAACTTCTCTATCTGAGGAACAAACACAGAGGAGAGCTAAAGTAATCTGCAATCACTTTTGCTAATCTGTCTTTCTATGAAATTATTGTCCAGTAGGAACCTTAAGTGTTACAGAACCAGCATGAGGGTCCACATCCATCTCTCCAGAAAGAATGCTGAGCTCTATAACAAATGTCTCCTCTACTTCCACCTCTCCATGAGGGAGGATCCGCAGCTCTATGGTTCCTGTACCCGCCTCTCCATCCTTAAAAAAGAAGGTTCCGTTCACGGGTTCTCTGATGTCCGTGTTTGATGGAGGGAGGCGCTCTCTGCTGTTGGGACCGAGGATGAACCAAGAAACCTGTCAAAAAGAAAGATGAGGCTAGTGAGATCTGATAGAGAATCACAGGATTTTCTTCTTCTGCAGGAACCTTCGTACCGTCGCGTTGCCCAAAACGCCTCCTGCTCTCTCCACAACAAGCATGAGCTTTAAAGTTGAATCAGGGTTCGCCACAGTGATTAAACTTTTATTAACGAAGTGGACCACCCCGTTTGGAGAGTCACTCTTGCCGATGGTTACCCTAGCAACACTTTGAGATCCTAGAACTGCTCCTCCCTTAGCTCCAACAAGTAGGACCTCAAATGTCTCCGCAGGCTCACTAGAGGGCACAACGTTGAAAGAGATAAAGACGATGTTCAATGATAATTCAAAAGGTATATATGAATAGAAAAAATCCTATCCTCTCACCTGTCCAGGTCGTCTATAATAGTGACATTAATGTAGCTAATAGTCTGACCATTGACGAATGTCACAGAATTGTTTTTCAAGACATAGTCAAGATCAGGAGTTGCACTCAAGCCTCTTGAGATGAACTGAGCAGAGACAAGTCCGTATGAGCCCACTCTCCTCACCACTGGGATCCATAAGGCTCCCACATCCTCCTCCACTGATAACAAACACAAGGACACATGTATGCACTTTTAATTGTTTCTCCTAGAAGATGAGGACTTTTAAAATTTTACCTGTAAAGTTAAGATAGTCCTGCCTGAAGTCCAGGACACCTTCCACATTATCATTCTGTTGGATAACCACCACTAGAGAAGAGATGTTGCCTATAGCTGGAGGCTGGTCCAGCTGCAGGCCAAACTCTCTCACTGTGTAGTCCACAGCACTGACCACATGAGGGAGACACAGCATAAGAAAAGCAAAGTAAACTGGACAATCTACTGTAAAAAATAAAGATGTGGTACTCATAAATCCTCTGATTACCTCTGGTTTACCAGCTCAGCCTTAGTGATGCTGATAAAAAACATTTCAGGTCCTTCTGGGAGACTGTCGTCCTGGATGCTCAGTGTGATTTGTTGTGAGGTTTGGCCTGGTGTGAACAGCAGTCTGCCTGAAGCTTGAACAAAGTCCGTTCCACTGATGGCCGTGTCTCCCGAGGTCTCATATGTGACCCACACGCGGCCCAGACTGCCAAAGGAGCGGTTCACCGTCACATTGACCTGAAAGGGGGAAAAAAGGACATTATATTCCAGTTTTCATCAAACGATTTAATGGCCTTTTAATGACCTCACCGTTCCCTCCTCCTCTTTAACCCTGAGCTGAAGCTGGACGAAAGAGAAAAGGCCATAAGGCTGGTCACTTGCTGCCACGGTAATCCTGGCATGCCTGGCTGTGGGACTTATCTCCAGTCCTGGTGTGGCAGAGGTCAGAGAGAGCTGGTACTCACTGCGCTCTTCAGGGACTTCATCATCTAGAACCTAACATCATAAAGAATAAATTCAGTACGAATCATCCTGCAGATCACGGATACAGACGGCATGCTGACATTTCTGTGAACTCCATCTAGATATTTACTACACACCTTCAGAGTAATGTTAGCCTCAGACTGTCCATCTCTCATGGTCACAATGCCAGAAATTGATTCAAACTCAGAAGCCACAGCAGGAGTGATGTTCCAGTAGACCCGCACCTCTCCAAAAACACCTGGACCTCGTCCAAGGCTGAAGAAGAGCAGAAATAAAACAGGATCTTTAAAGGAACCGCGATTTGTTTACAAATGGAAACAATTATTTTAGTCTATATAGCATATGAAAGTTTAGTGGGGCTCACAATAACCCAGGAGCCCTAATAAGAGGCCAGACAAAGTGGGGTGGTTTTCCCCGTCCCATTCAGCCAGTGCATGAATATTAAGTGATCTGCGTGTTGTTTGGCTGGTTTACACTGATGGCTTCACAGTCCTGCCTGAAGCTATAAACTCTGTGTGTTTGGAGGGGATGTGTAGAGGAATGAAGGACCGTATTTTCCGGACTATAAGTGGCACTTTTTTTCATAGTCTGGCTGGTCCTGCGACTTATATACCAAAGTGACTTATTATATACCAAATTATGTATACCGCGCTGCTGCGGGCCGGCTCCGGACCAGGAAGGAGCTCCCTTGCCCCGCCATCACCCACTGGAGACCGTTGCGCGCTGCTGCGGGCCGGCTCTGGTCCAGGTTTCAGCTCCTCTGCCCTGCTGGGAGGGTTTGAAACACCGCCATCCTCTGCTGGAGACCGAGGTGCGCTGCTGTGCCACGGTTGTTTATTCTGTTATTGTTACCGGTACTTGTCTTGCAATGTGAAATACTTGGTCTCAGATTTTGTAAGAAAAATAATAAAATTCACCCCAAAATGTGACTTATAGTCCAGTGCGACTTATATGTGTTTTTTCTTCTTCATTATACATTTTATGGCTGGTGCGACTTATACTCCGGAGCGACTTATACTCTGGAAACTATAGTAAGCGGGGGTTTGCCGAGTAAGTACGTGCCCTAATGCATTCTGGAATGTGAGTGCTTCAATTTTCTTTGTTTTCCTCTCATCCAACAAAGATGCTAGCATTAGCTTGGGCCAGCAGTGTTCTGCAGTTAGCATTAATGCATCTAATGTTTATTTATAGCTGATGTTGAAGTGGGTTGGAAAAGGCAGATTGAAGGGGGAGCGTCTAAGCTTATGACTACTAAAGAGTTACTTTGTAGCAGTAATATGCTTGATTTTACCACCCCCTAGTGTCCATTAGTAAAAGCAAAAGTAAAACTTGTTAAAAAGATAAATGTACAGCGAGGAGACATCTTAATCTAACAGCTGAAACGTCTCCTCAGCCTTCATTAGTTTCTACAAGAGTGGTTCATCACTGAATCAAACAAATCAGCTGTGTTCATGATCTAAAGCAGGAATTATGCTGGAAGCAGACTGCTGCACCAGGCATGTTAGCCCCACTTTACTAAGTCCAACAGGGACCCCACCACTAACTCTGAAGTTGCAAGTGCGACATTCTGGCCACATGGGGCAGTGGGGTCTGAGTGACATTTCATTAAACCTGTAAAGGGTCATTTTAGAACGTACTGGCTCAGGAAGATGACTTAAAACGTGATAAAGTTGTATTGTATGCCTTTGAACCAGCTTTTCTCAGAACGAACCGCTCCTCCCTCACCTCTACAAAGTTACTCATTTAAATAGGAAAGCAGGTCAGAGATAGCACAGACTTTTGGTATGGCTTGTATTTGGTAAATGACTTATATTTGATACAGTGCCTTCTAGGGTCCTAGAACCCCCCAATGTGCTTTAATATGCTACATTAGACACCCCAAGCTGCTTTTATTCAACACCATCAACAAGGCAAATGCGGTTTTAAGTTCTACTGACCCTCTGAACTCTTGTTTGATTGTATTTAGAGAGACAGTGTGACATTTCTCTCACCTGACGGTGGAAATGCCTTTATAGGCTCCCTGAGGTTCTCCAAGGAGGATGTTCCTCGACGACTCCACTAGTCCAACAATCCCCAGAGCAGCCTTGTCTGCTTTGATGGTGATGGTGGCCACACCTGCAGGACAGTCATCAAAACCAGTGAATGTCTTACAAAGAAAATCCTGGACGTTATCCCATTTGATTCACCTTGAAGCATGTTTATTACAAACCGTGCAAGGGGTCGATGACTGCACCGCTGTCAGCAGGAAACAAACGTACAGTGAAAAGCTCGTCTCCCTCCAGCACATTATCAGCAAGGGCTCTGATTACAAATGATTTAACAGTGTCAGTCTGTAAAAAAGCAACAAAAGGCAAGCAAATTAAAGAAATATTACATGGTGGACTATTTTTAAAAATGTAAATACTTACACTACTTGTTCTATTTTACCTCAGTAAATACAAGAGTTCCATTAAGAGGTGAAAGGTCCTTCAGAGCCTGGTCTTCCACCCTCCACACTAGGGTCACTGCACCCTGACCTCCTGCACTGCGAAGCACTGTTAGGTTTGCTATGGCAGCAGGATCATTCACAAACTCTGGTTCACTGACAACAACCTGAAAGAGAACACGCAAGTTCATGTAAATCATGTTTGCAGGATTGAATGTTGTGCAACATAAAGGGAATAATTATTGACAACAGCAGAATTTTACCTCCAGGTTCTGAAATCCAAAGCGTCCAAGAGGTGAATCATTGGCTGGGATGGTGACGTTAACAGAGGTCATCTGTCCAAGACGAGCACCACCAATCACACGCATCAAATTCACCCTAAAGGTTTCCGACGTCTCCACCTTTTCATCATCCAAGATGGTGATGGCTACTGTGGCTTGTTTCTAAATAAATTTCATGAAGTTTAACATTAACATTCAGATTTAACATTTCATTTAGGTTTTTTTTATAGTTAAAAACATTAAACATTCCAGCTTTACCTGTCCTTCTTGAAAGGTGGCATTTCCTGATGCAGGGCTGAAGTCGTTGAGATCAGCAGTGATCGGCAGAGCTTCCCAGTAGACGACCAACCGCCCAATTGTACCAGCAAGTCGCACCACTGACAGATGGAGGACGTTGTCTGGTGGTGGTATCTCATAAGCTACCACACTTCCAGGGACGTCCTGCTCGGTAACATTCATTGAAACATAAATCATGTTTTCTCCCTTTTGTTTAGATGAAGTATCCCAAGCAGCCGCGAAGCTGCTTCATTAATTTCCATCCTTAAAACTCATAAGCAGATCCTTCGTTCTCACCTCAGAAACGTTGAATTGCAGAACCCCTCGTGGATCGTCGTTCTCCTGGATGGTGATCTCTGCTACTTCCATCCCGGGTCTCTTTAAACTCGGCTGCCCAGCTCCAGTAGAACCTCCAACCAGTTCCACTCCTGTGATATTTACCAGGAAACTCTCCGCAAGCTCTGGGATATCGTCCTTAAAAGTCACACACCAGTGCATTAGTTTACAGAACAACTCGCTGATGATGGCAAACTTTACGCAACACATCATTCATCCTTACTGGAAGGACCATGACAGTGACAAGGGCCACAGTAGCACCGGTTATCATGATAATGGTGTCATCTTTGGCAATGTAGTCCTCTCCTGCAGAGGCCTGATTGGACGGGGGTTGGTACAAGGCTGCCTTGGTTTGGTAATGGATCGCCACCTCCCCCGAGGATCCCTGCTCCCTCACGATGGAAAGAGTCACGTTGACTGGAGTCCCTGCAGGTCAAGAAAAAGGGGATTAGGGGTAATGAACTAAATAATAAATAACGCATTTGTTTGTTTTATTTGAATACTTACTCAGTGGTTCCTGCGTTTGTGTAAACTGGGAGTCCAGATGCCATCCAAACACACCGTAGGGGGAACCATTTGGTAAGATAATAAGCTGAGCCTGAGCTCGCTGCTTGTCGATGACAGCAGCCTGTTGTGGGTCTTGAAGCCCCAAAGTAGTGACACCCATAAGGTTGACTGTGACGCTCTCTCGTAGCTCTGGTATACCATCTGCTACCACGGCTAATGAGATGATGGCTACTGTTTGGCCCTCAGAAAATGTCACCTGTAACAATGAAACACATATTTGAGATGTTTTTGTCTGAAAAAAAAAAGAATGTTCAGGTATATTTTTATTGTTTTTGCATGAGTTTGATGGGACAGCAAAGGTTCCTCACCACTCCTGAGGTGGGTTCAATGTCAGCCAAACTTCCATTAGCTACCCAGTAAACAATCAGTCTGCCAAAAGTCCCTCTCTTCCTCTCCACACGGAGAGAAATTTGATTGTTTTGTTCCAACTCCTCCACCTCCACGTAATTAGAATCCTGCAAAGACATTTACACATGAGCTAAGCACTTAAATGACCTGTACCTTAACACAAAAAACCATTTCACTAGCTCACCACAGCAAAGCCGATAACTCCGTGGGCATCATCGTTAACTGGAACAATAATTGTCACCTGACCACCAAACCCAATCTCAGCTCCACCTGTAGGATTCTTCAGCCGGACCTGGAAGTATTCTTCCAACTCTGGGATGTCATCATCAATGACGTTCACTGCTAACTCCATCTCACGGTCACCTGGTGCAAAGTTCAGCAACCCAGCACTAAATCAGGAGATGAAATAGAACAAAACAACATGAATTTATGTCTTGTTTTGTATAAAATTGTACCTTTTCTTTAGGTAAAACTCATCATCTTTGACTTTTTAAATTTGCAGGATACCTGGGTATGAAATCAGATTGATTTGAGACAGAAGTGAACTCATAAACAGTGGAGCTGTTCTCCCTTGCAGAGGCCAACAGGACCTTCGTGGCATTGAAGGATGGGACCATGAAAGAGGCGTAGCTAAGGGCAGGAGGCGCCCTGAGAATGAGGGTGAACAGGCTGATATCAGACCTCCAGGAGTAGAGGGATGAACCATTTCCTCCGGCTAGCATCACATTTGCTACAAAAACAGAAAACAAGATGAAATTAAGTTTGTAAATGAGGATTAAACTTCTTCACAAAAAGTTAAAGGTGTGGGACACTCGTGTAATCAACACATTTGCAGTGGCCACTAGTAGGAATGAATGCCTTGTAAGTCATTCTCGGGGTGGGGGCACACATTTTGTAGGAACTAGAAGTGACCCACATCACAGCTGAGCTTCAGACAGCAGGTTTTGGCATCTTATTTCCTGATATTTGGAGATATTACCTTGGATTGGACAACAGCAACATGACTCTACCACTGACCTGCAATGTGGGTGTTTTTTCTCCTTAAATAACACATCAGGTGCTTCTGCCGTGTGTTGCTAATGCTAACGGTTAGCTACTACTAGCAGATACGTTCTCTGCTGTTTCCTAGACGCTAAACCAACAACAACCTTCCCTGTCGTGAGTCAAGATGGGTGAGTCCATGAATGTTAAGCGACAGTGTTACGTAGATCTGTTTCATCGTCTATTTTCTATCAGAAGCTAATGCAGGAGATAGGTGTAGGAGACTATTTTCACGTTCAGCCTGCATGACAAACTCAGAGTGATTGATTATAATCAGAAACACTCATTAAAAATGGGTTTTCAGTGTGCAACACCTTTAAACGTAAATGTAGTCAATATAACTAGAAAAAAACTACAAGAAATCATCTATAAACGTAGTTTGATGATATCTGTGCTTACTGATCCCAGAAGGAGTGGTGAAGGCGTGAATAGAGGCGATCCCCGGGTGAGGAATGGACTGTTTGTGTAGAGGTGAAGGATCTCCTGATCCCCACTTAAACACCTCACAGGATGGAGGGAGACCTGGGAAATAATACCCACAGACATGCATGCAGAATGAAGTTATTCCACACCAAGAAAGCATGTGTATGTAAGTGCTCATAAGACTGACACACCCAACTCTGACCAATTATAACCTCTGAGTCTTTTTGTGGCTTCGCTCTGCAACAAACTGAGGCTTTTCTGCATAAACACACAACAGGTCTGTACCAAAAGCTCACAAAAGTTGCAGACGCTGAAGGTTTATGTCTCTTCAGATTACACAAATAGAGCATATAAGCAAGTCTACATAGTAAACGCTGCAATTTTAGAATAAACAACAGAACAAAGAAGTTTTCTGAGTAAAAAAAGTGCTTCTGTTTAAATGCTGAAGTTGCATCAATTTGTTTGCACAATTCTGACCAACGTCTAATTACTGCATAATTCAAGAAATGCTGAAACACAACATGCACTCAGCAGACCATGTAAAGTTCTTTCAGCTTGTTAATTTTACAGCTTTTGAATAATGCATGACTTTATTATTAACACATCACCACATCTACAAGAAGATGTAATATGTTCAGCTGTTTTTAAAACAAGTTAGATCACCTTCAGTAGCGATGAGCAGCAGGGTGTCCTCTGTTCTCGTGTTGATCGCCTCCACCTGAAGAGCTCTGCTGCTGACTGGGAGAGCCTGAGGACTCAGAAATCTTCCACTGGTCCAACGAAGCACCTGGCAGCTTAAAGTCTGGTTGTTAACGCACACCAACAGGTAGGGCACGCCTGAGCGGGTGAATGGAGTCAAACTGAGGATGTTCTGCTGAAAGTTGAGAGTCTGGTGGAGAGAAAAGGAGCTTCCCGTCCAAACAAATATCTGAGAATTAACAAAAATAAAGAATTTATGTATATTTTGGGTTATTTGTCCTCCAAAGCAAAGCACGTAATTAATTTTAAAGGATTTGTCTCAGTGTGTTACCTGGCTTGATGCTATGATGTAATCCTTGCCTTCAGAGGAGAAGTGTTTCACATTCAGACCTTCAACACCTAAAATTTGTTCCTGGACAAATAAAGTCTCAAGATTATTTCACCATATGTACGTTACATCACCCACAGTGTTCCAAAAACAAAAGTACCAAAACCATTAGAGTGATGTTCTCAGACTGAATTTCTAGGTACCAGCGAGATGTTGAGGTCCTTCTGCAATTTGAAGATGCTGAGATTGGCAGCAGGGAAGAAAGGAGGACCCCCATGTGTGATGCCGATGAAGGTGGAACCGTTCACCGCAAATCCAGTACACGAGGTCGGGTCCTGGATCTGGACAGACTGAAAACCCAAATCAGAGGTTTTTAATGCTAACGCAGGGTCGGTGATATCCAAGTTTTTACCAGATGACATTTATAAGTTTAAAGGTGTTGAACACTTGTTTAATCAACATATTTGCTGTGGTCTCTAGTAGGAATAAAAGCCTTGTAAGTCATACTCTGCGGGGGGGAAAAAAGCCCAGAAGAGTTTGTATTAGCACGGAGGAGTCAGCTGGAGGAGAGAATGACAGGACACAACAGGATTTGGAGAGTTATCTCCTGATATTTGGACATCTCGTCTCTGATTGGCTAACAGCTATCACTGACTCTGTGTGCTTTGCAATGTTGACGTTTTATTTCCACAAATAACACAAGCCTGTCTGCCATGTGGTGGAGTTGCTAATGCTAATGGTTAGCTTCTACTAGTTTAGACGCTCTCTGCTGTTTCCTGGATGCTAAACCAACAACAGCCTTCCCCGTTGTGAGTCAAGATGGGTGAGTCCATGAATGTTAAGTGACAGTGTGATGTAGATCTGTCAGGGTTTTTTAATCCTAGTGTTTCATCGTCTATTTTCTATCAGAAGTTAATGCAGGAGATCGGTGTAGGAGACTTTTTTCATGTTCAGCCTGCATGAAAAACTCAAAGTTACCAATTATAATCAGAAATGATCATTAAAAAATTGGATTAGAGTATGCCACATTTTTAAAATGGGGGAAGAACACTGTTACCTTTATCGGCATGAAAACACCTTGCCACCGATACAGAGTGGCCAAAGTGTATGAGGATCCAACTGCAGGCTTCAAATCCAGTCTTACAGCCAGGAAGGAAGGACCTTTAGGAAGGGAGCACCAAGCAGATGTGGGTTTGTCCTCAAAGCTCTGGTATGAGCCGACGACAGGGAAGGGGCCCTCTGGAGAAAAATAAATAAATATAAACATAACTTAGAAAGGGTTTGTGAGATTTAGGAAGGTTAGGATGAATCCCGGTTCTGTTGGAGGTTTCTTCCTGTTAAAAGGGTGTCTTTCTCTCCACAGTTGCTACATGCTTGCCTAGAATAGTGACTGCTGAAAAGTCATTGACACAAGTCAGTGACTGCATGCAGTTTGTTGGGTTTCCTTCAGTAGAAAACGTGCAACTAGTTGGCATAATGAACTGAACTCAGTGCGCTTATCCATAGGTTCAGTTAGAATATTCCACTTGTGAACAGAGACGACTCTTGTTGTGAATTGGTGCTATTTAACTAAGCTGGATGACTGTGTCTCTCACCAGAGGCAACAGCTGTGTCAGACTGCGTCTCCCACTCCACACTAACAGCCGATTCCAAACCGTTACTGCGAGACACCGTGAGGAAGACTGTCTTCCCTTCACTAGTGACCATTTCTGAACTGGTTCTGAAGGGAAACAAGAGAAATGACACCAAACCTGTTCACCACAGAGCGTTTTAATGGCAACTGTGCATATAGCATTTGTGTTAATTCAAACCTGTTAAGAGTCGGGCCAATTCGGAACAAGCCTGAAGGAGCCGCGTTCTCCAGGATGGTAACGAATGTTTGGAGCTGGTCACTTAGCCGGGCCCCTCCTGTTGGGTTGAACAGAACCACTCTGAAAGTTTCATTCCCTTCAGGCTCAGCATCGAGTACTGCTCTGATCTCCAACATCTGAAACAACACAGATCACAAAAAGTGATTAAAACTAACAAAATTTTGCTCAAGTAGTTTCCACATTGTAATACTTAAATTAGCTTCAGCTCACCTTAAATCTCACTTTGTCCTCCAGAACCACAACACCGCGTGTTGGCATCAAATCTCCCTCCACTAGACTGCCGTTGGCATCAGTGATAGTGAACTGAACAGACACAGTGCCAAAAGTACCCTCCTCAGGGTTTCGAACCACAAAGAGTTTGGCCACGCTGTCACTCAGCTGCGACACGGAGGTTGGCTCTCTTAACAGGAAGTGATCACTGGAGTTGAAGGAAATCACACCGTGCCCATCATCACTGGCCAGGATCGTCACAGTGGCTGAAAACAGAAAATATCTCTTAGGGAAACAAATAAATGTAACAATAATCTGACATAATTTGGCCTCAACTAGTAAATTTCAGTCATTTTTCACATTTTGTTTAAAAACGTGCATACAATTAAAAATGACATCTAAATTAGGGTATTGTAATTTGTTTTTATCATATGTGATGTTAATAAATGTACAATTAAAACAAAACTCTTAATCCCTCAATTTCCATTATTTCAACAAAAGTTCACCTATAAAAATGTCATTGCTCATTAAATGCAGAGAGTCCAGCAGTTCACTGAACTATTGTTTTCTGCTCAGTTACACTTTTGCCTGTAATGTTGTGATTTTCATGGTTTGTTGAAGTTCTTATTTTGGTAACAAACTGAATGTTCTTTGGTGCACATTTAGCTGAGTTTCAAATGGAAATTGGTCTTTTTTTTTTTTTTTTTACCATTTCTGTAAACATTAGGATAACATTTATTGTCTGCCACCTGTGGTGTTAGTGCCCAGCTCCAGTCCAGGAGACGGTCCAGACAGGATGAGCTGGAATCTCTCAGCCCCTTCTGGAATAGGGTCATCAATTATCTGCACTTCCACAAACTTATACCTTTCACCATGAACAAAGTGGAGCACCTGGACAGACAGAAGATTTGTTTAGCAGAAAACATGATTCAATTTACAAACCCTTGAACTGATGGGTACAATCAGAAGAGAAAATGTAACACTTTGATGCCATTTGTGTCTGTATCCAGAAGAGAGACTTTAATGTAAAGCCCTCTATGTTTTATTTGTCTAACCGTTTCATTGGTACTGTAGTCAAGTCCCTGCTGAGCTTCCAGATTCTGAGCATAGAAGTGAAGAGACACATTTCCATACGTCCCTTTGTTCCTATAGACCACGAGAGTCAACGATCCTATAGTTTCATTCACTTCAAACCTGCAGAACACATTCAGAAATAAGTTCTTTTTAAAAACAACATAAAAAATGATGAAACAAAAAGGGATTAACTGGTGCTTTTCTTACATGGTGTTTGTCCATTCAATGACCCCTCTGATTCCATCATTAGCAGCAATAATGACTTCTGCAACCAAACCCTGAGTGTCTGGCAAACGAACCACATGCAAACATACAATGGCCTTTAGTTTAGAGGTTGATCACAGAGGTATGTTCCAGTAGCTAGCTTCTCAAGGCTGCAACTACAGAGTAAAAGCAATGTGAGCGAGTCGTGAAATAGGGATGTAACTTCCATCATGACCTATTGGAGCGAAGGATACAACTAGCAGGCATCTACTGGAAGTGGCTTATGAGTTTGAGCAGCCAAGTCCTTGGGAGGACTGATTTATGACCTCCGGAACGGTGTTCTCTCATTCACTCTGTGGCTGAGACACTGGGAGGCCAGTTACGGGTTCTGTTTGCCTTTCTGTGTCCTCACCATACAGGGCTACTCGCTGCCACCAAATCCTCAGGCTTCCTCAATCACAAAGAGCATCAATCTCACCGTCAATGCCACATAATGATTGCTGCCAAAAGAATGGATATGTGTGTGTGCGTGCGTGCGTGTGTGAGTGTGTGCGTGCACGTGCGTGCATGCGCGTCTGTGTGTGTGTGTGTGTGCGTGCGTGAGTGTGTGTGTGTGTGTGTGTGTGTGTCCAGACAGTGAGTGGGCTGGTAGTATTCTGGGAACTTTCAAGCTCTACTCTACTTTGTCAACTCATCACTTTCTACACCTACTCATTCATGATAGCTACTGTGGTTTAGGTTTTACACTAAAAGCAGAAATGCATCAACAAACTTGCTCATTTATAGCTAAAAGCAGAATATATGTATGTGTCAGAAAGGAAATGTGCACAGCTTCTGCACGTTTGCGTACATCTGAGTTTTTGTTTACCTGACAGAGTGCAATACACACGCTCTGCGTATCAAATTAGAGCAAATGGTGAAACGATTAAAACAGAAAATAAATAGATTTCACATTATACAACAAGTATTTTTAAACGTGCAAACCCTAAAAAAATTATGACCAAAAATAGAAAAAACAATTGTTTTAAGTCATTTAAATGTAGTGTCTACCAGATTAAATGAATTTTACAAACAAAATCAAACTAATGCTTCTTAAAGTTAAACATACCTAGTTGGGGAACCGTAGCAAGAGTTGTAATAAGTACTGCAGATGTAATGTTGACCAAGAAGAACTCCTGCAACTCTGGAATGTCATCCTGGCACAAAAACACAGCTTTAAATGAACCACCTTAGACTAAAACACAGCAGGCAAAACTCCCCAAAACACCAAGAATGGAATAAGTGAGATTAAAATGTGGAGACAAAAACACAGACATAAAAAAATAACAGATTACATAAAACACATTATTGCACACTATAATAAATAAAGTCTTGAATGTTGGGTTTTGATAAAAAATAAAGGTCTGGTCTTTACCTCTAGAATGGTGACAGGGAGGCAAACTGATGTCTGTCCTTCTTGTAGAAGCACAAAACCAGAACCGGAGATGAAGTCTTGTCCCGGCTCAGCGAGGGCACCCTCCACCTCAGACAGGTTTTGTAAAGAACCTCTTTTAACCTCATAGGTGATGTTCACCACTCCTGCATACAAATATATAAGTCTTAAACAAACTGCAGGATGGCTAAACTTGTTAAAGGGTTATAAAATTATTGCATAAAAACAAGTTTTAAATGCCAAAAACCTGAAACTCCAGACTCTCTGTTGATGCAGATGTTTATGATCTGGTTCCGTTCCTCTGTGGTCACCCTACGTGATGATGGGGCAATGGTCAGCAGCCCGTAGGGCATGTCGCTGGTGTCGACGGTAAGAAACGCCTCACTGCTTTTATTATCCAGGATGGCCCGGCCAGTCACTCCAACTCCTTGAAAACAGTTAGAGGGATTTGATTCAGTGATCTTTATAAGTGCTTTCTTTTCTCCAAAGAAGGGTCGTCAAAATAAAAAATTAACGAATTACCAAATGTTTGCATGTTAGACAGTGCAACTCTATATTTATCTTGGTTCTCTGGTGTGGCGTCATCCAGGAGCTGCAGGACTATAGTATTATTTAGTTGTCCCTGTAAGAAAAAAAAAACATTTATTTACATCAATAATGCAAAAATAGAAATAAACAAAACATTTATTTATTACTTAAAGGGATTCTAAGCAATTTTGCTTGCTTTTATCACCCCCTAGTGTTCATTATTAATTATCTGTGGTCAAAGCAAAAGTGCAACTCTTCTCCTCGCAGTGCGTTCACCTTTTTAACACCTTAATCTAACTGCTGAAACGTCTCCTCAGCCTCCATTAGTTTCTACAGGAGCGGTTCATCACTAAATGAAACAAAGCAGCTGTGTTCATGATCCTAAACATGCAGGAAATGTGCTGGAAGCAGACTGCAGCGCCAGGTATGTCAGCTCAGGAAGTGGCCCGGCACTCTGAAATTACAAATGCGGTAGGCTGGCCACAGAGGGTAGTAGGGGTCTGAGTGACAATTCATTAACCCCGTAAGGGGTCTTTTTAGCACATACTGGCTCAAAATAATTTTTTAAAAACATGAAAAAGTTGCCTAATATCCCTTTAATGACAATTGACGATTCTTCAGCAAAGTAATAAAAACCTTGGTGAAGAAAAGCGTCCCTGAGGTTTGAGAGAAGGTCTGCTGTACACGAGGTCCTTGGACAGCCCAGTCCACAGTGACATTACCCAGTCCTGGAGCTGTTCTCAACACCAGTAAGGACAGTTTTTCACCTGCAATAATAAATAAAGCAAAATCAGTTTAGATAAACAAAAGGCAAAAACAATACAAAGATTGTCTGAAAAGCCGTGACCGTAAAACCAGAGCTAATAACATTCTTTGGACTTCAAGAATTTCTCTTTTTGTGAAGTAGATTCAACAGAGGCATGAAGACTTTAACCTATGCGTGTACAATTTTATGATAATGATAACCACGGGGCCCACCAGCTGTAGTGTCCTGCTATCAGCTGGAGTGTTTATTTCACATTTATAGATAATGAGAACACCTCTCCAGTGACAGCAGGGTTGTGTTACAGAAACTCCTCTCTATGAGAGATGCCACGCTTGTGAAGACCTGCAGACTTGATGTAACAAACCTATTATATGCATCTCTAAAAGGGATACACTTTATTCAGATCAGGTTCATGCAGCATTTGGAATATAATAATGCCATAATGCATTGCCATGGGTAGTTAACACGCTAACCTTCCCTGACGCTGACAGAACGAGAGGCTGAATGGAATCCCACTATCCCAGCCACAAAGTCGTTGGCCAGTATCACTATGGTAACGGTGTCCGAGCTGGGCAGAATCCGACTTCCTCCTGCCGTGTTTACGAGACTGATCACGAGGTTCTCATTGTCCTCAGGTTCAGCATCATCTTTGATTGCTATCTCTATAGTCTTCTTAAGCTCACCTGTGGATGAAAAACGTGAAAGCAATGGTGACATTGTTATATTTGCTGCAAGAACTGTAAGAGATACAAGCTTTTAGGGACCAGAGCAACGCACATACCATCAAAGATCAAAGTTCCTCCAGTTCCATTGAAGTCCACACCTGGTGTGGCTTTTCCTCCAACAAATCTCCACTCCACAGTGACTGTCCCCAAATTTCCTCCTCGCCTTTCTATTACCAGCGGCACAACAGCAGGAGGCTCTTCCCGAACCTCCAGATAGGACCCGTTATTAGTGGCATTAGGACTGAGACTGTAGATCAAAAACACCCCAAACGCATCTCCATTTATTCCAATGGTGACTATGGCTTTGTCAGGCTGACCAATCGACGGCAAGTTCTTCTGCAATGCTGTCACATTTACCAGCTCTACCTTTAAACAATGCAGGGTAAAATGTATTATTATACAGTAGCTGAATGTGAATAAAATCTAAATTATGAGTGAAAAAAGGCAATGATCAGGTTTTACCTTAATGATCTGTATGGAGAAGCTCTCGTCCACTTCTGGGAAAGCATCAGTCAAAATCAAGACAGGGAGGCTGGCAACCCCCGATCCGTCCTCCATGTAGTCACTTTGAGCCGTCACAGGGATGTAATCGCTCCCTGCCACAGCCTGAGAGCTAAACAACACAGAAGCTGCCGTGGCGTTTTTAACATAAGTGAAGACCTGAGGTCTAGAAGTCAGCTGCTCCGCACCTGATGTCACCCACGTACAGGATGGTGGGGTTACACCTGATGACAAAGAGAAGGCCTGGCAGGTTTGCTCTCTCAGACAAGCAGCAGCACATGAAGCCACTGAGCTGTTCTGACCAGTGATGTTAAACGTCTTTAAGGGGGCAGTGGTCGGAACACCTGGTTTTGGTGTGTTATAGTACATCAACAGGTTCTGGTTGTTAGTCTGAGCCAAACCAACAACATCAACCTCAGACGTGCTGTATGTGATCTTCAACTGACCAAAGTTACCACCACTAGAGTTATGGAGGAAACCAGAAATGAAAAAGGGTGAGTACAAGTGAACAAAAACAAATTAAAAATCAAGCCAATAAAAGAGATACCTGCGCCAGACGGCTATATTAGCTCTGTAAACGCCCTCCAGTGGCTCCTGAACAAAATAAACATTCTTTTCAAAGTAAACAGTCCCATAGGGGTTGTCATTGGCAGGAACGATTATGTTCACAGAAGTATTAGCCCCCAGGTTTCCTCCATTACTGGCACCAGTCAGCTCCACTCTAATAATCTACACAGGACAGAAAGAGTTTAGAAAATTCTGCAGGTCAACATATTCATATAGCATCTTTAGCCTTCTCACCTCAGTGATTTCAGGTACATCATCAGCCAAAATCTCAACTTTGAGTATCTTCCTGGTCTCTCCAGGAGCAAATTTAACCTCCCCTGAAGTGGGTCTGATGTCACCCTCTGCTAGTTTACCATTGACAGTAGCCTTCCATTGGACTGCCACCGTGCCAATAGTACCAGCATTACGCACGATGGGCAGCGTGACCTCAACGGAGTTGGATTCTGGTTCCTCTACTGTAATGGGAACAGCCTGAAAGACTTATTAAAAACATAGAGAAGTGATGACTAGATAGACAATCACAGAGTAAAAACTTTTCAAACAATGTTGGATAGGAGCTCCTAACCGAAGGCACCAAAAGGGTCATCAGAAGGCATTATGGTGATGATTGCACGAGTGAGCTCTCCCAGCAGAGCTCCTCCGGTTGTTTGGTTGATTAGCTCGATGACAAAGGTCTCCTCCAGCTCAGGCACAGCGTCGTTGATAACATAGATAGGTACTGATTTGCTGGACTCGCCCTCTAAAAGAACCACATCGGTCGAGGCCACGCTGTAGTCTTCGCCTACAAGATCAAACACAAGCATTTTCTCATAAATAGGGACTGCCCGTCATAGATCGACTTTTTAAAACCTCGTTTTTATGACTTACCAACTGTGGCGGTCAAAGGCACTGCTCTGAACTTGACAGACACATCAGCAAATATCCCTCCGACCCGTGTGACATTTATTATGGGCCCAACGTAATCCTCGGCCACGCTGACAGCAGAGGCCGACAGTTGAAGGATTCCAAAAGCGTCGTCGCTGGCCTCCACAATCACCTGGGCTACAGTGCTGGAGCTGGAGCCCAGAGAGGGCGAATTTTCAACTAGAAGAAAGAAAAAGAAGGTATTTTATATTTTAAATGCGATTTATGGTTGTATTATGTATATATTTTTAGTGTAGCAAAAAATGTGACCTACCGAGCCTCTTCTGCTCTCCTTGAATGAGCTGAACACTGATCAATTTCACAAACACAGACTCATCTCGTTCTGGATCCGAATCATCCAGCACTCTGAGGGTGATGTTTGCCTCAGTCTGGTTGGCCAAGAACACCGCAGAACTAAGGAGGGAGACAAAATCCTTCCCCCCAGTGGCTCGGCCTACTCCAGGGGTCCTGTAAGGCTCGGGATCGGTATCATTTAGAGTCCCGTATGTTAATCGCACCTACATCCAAAGAAGATAGACAACATTATAGAAAGTGATAAATAAATCAGATGCAGAAATCTATTGTTTTTGTTTTAAGTTTTCTGCGCTTGGACACACCTGACCCATCAAGCCTCTCTGTCGCTGGATACTGAGGGAGACAGCTACGTTAGCTTCAGGAACTCGAACAGACCGTGATGCATTGGCGAATACAAAAACACCATAAGGATCATCACTGGCGAGCACGGTCAGAGTGGCAGAAGATCTGGTGCCCAGACGACCATGTGAAACATTCACCAGAGACACGGTGTAACTCCTGTCCAATTCAGGGATCACATCCTGGGCCACACCAATGACCACATTTGCCGACCTCTGCCCGACACGAAAGGTGATGTTCCCAAATCTGCTGAGGAGCTGTCCCTGAGAGCTGGGATCAACCTCCCAGTACACAGTTACATTGGAAAGGTCACCAAAGGATCGGTCCACCTGAGAGAGAAGAGGTTTCGTAAGCATCACTGGGCATTTTAGAATTTGCGAGCAGTGCTTTTATCACTGACCTGCAGGATGATGGAGTCGTGTCCATCCTCAGGTTCTGTCCCATTAACAGACAGAGTGTGAGGACTGAAATCAAACACACCGTGAGCGTCGTCAGATGCAGCGATGGTGACCGTGATGCGAGATGCAGCTCCCAAGCTGACTGAACAAAAAATTACAGATCTATCTCACTTTGATTGCATGTTAGATCCCTTCAAATTGAAGAAAAGGAAAAGTCTTCGTCACAGAAAAGGGATGGATAGAGTACGTTTAGTGGTGTAACTTTAAACATGAAGGCTGAGACAAGAGTGTGGATATTATTTTAACGATAAATTTCGAGTAGGACAATGGATTCCTTCACTCTTTGGCTATGTGAAAGGTTATTTGCTTTTCCCACGTCAATCTCCCTGAATACTGGGCATCACTGGGGGAGACGGTATAACGCAAATAACACACACACATCTGAAGTGGAGTGGCATGCATAAGCAACAAAGAGTGGGAATAAAGGAAAGGGGAGAAGGAGGGAGATGCTTACCACGGTGGTGATGGGATGGTAGGAGGAAGTTATAGTCACTATCCCCACTACCACTCTCTTCACCATGCAGAAAACGATCCACTAACAGATCACAGGGGGGCCACACCAGGTTAAATCCACACCAGATGAATAGAGGTCAGAGGGCAAATAGGAAGGAGTGTGGGAAGGTTGTCACACACGTAGATAAGTGGAAGCAAATAGGGCACCAAATACAAAAACACACAAAAACCAGTGGTCATTTTAGCTACATACATACTGGAAAAACCTCTTTTAAAGACCAAGTTCACTCATTTTTTTCAAACAATTTGCAGCGGTCTCCAGTATAAATGAATGACTTGTGAGTCGATTTCTGAGGAAAAAAAGCTCCTGCGGTCCTATTTGAGGAACTAGAAGTGAGCAGAAAACAGCAGGATATTTGGACATCTCACATCTGATTGGCTAACAGCAACACAACTCTAATAATGACTGAGTATGTTTTGCAATGTTTATCTTTCATCTCCACAAACAACAGCCTGGAGGAATTCTGCTGTGTTGTGAAGTTGCAAATGCTAAAACTTAGCTTCTACAAGCCAAAACGTGCGCTCCTCTCTCCTGGATGCCAAATCAACAGCAGACTTCCCCGCTGTGAGCCAAGACGAGAGAGTCCATGAATGCTAATTTGAAAATCTGAGCATTTCCCTGTCTATTTCCTATCAGCAGCTATTGCAGGAAACAGGGGTAGAAGACTGTTTTTACATTTTTCCTGCATGTTAAACTCAGAGTGACCAATCATACTTCAAAAAGAACAAGTAAAAAAATGGTTTCTCAGTGAACTTGGCCTTTAAAGATTTGTTTTAAGAAAGTCTCACCTCCACCATCAACATTGTAAAGCTCTACTCTAAAAATCTTCTCCAGTTCAGGAACAGGATTGTCTACAAGGGTCACATTGATGAACTTTAACCTCTCTCCTGGAAGGAAGTCCAACACGCCATCTGAGTCCTGGCAAGAAATTAATTCAAACAAACGTTAACATATTCACACACAAGAATCACTAGGAGGAAGAACACTGGTGGAAAATGACCTCGTAGTCTTCTGGGCTGGCTGCTGTGAAAGGGATTGTCCTGTATCCCACCATGATCCGGCCCAAAAGGCCTTGGGCCCTGGCCACTGGGAGATGAATCTGTCCATCCTCCTCATTAACAGTGATGTGGACGGGTTCTAATATTGGAGGGATCAAACCCTCCGGTGGAAGCCTTGGCTGAAACTGCAGCAGGCCTAAACAAAATAAGAGTGCATGTGTTCATGTGACCACAACGTACTACTAAACAGGTTAAATGCCCTGGCTGGGATTTCAGGTTCTGCTCTAGACTGGCTCTCTTCCTATCTCACTAACAGAACATTCACAGTGAAGTCAGAAACCTTCTCTTCAGACACTGCCTCTCTAACATGCGGGGTTCCACAAGGTTCAGTTCTAGGGCCTCTACTATTCGCATTCTATATTCTTCCCCTAGCTGGCATCATTCAACCTTTCCCAGACATCTCCTACCACATCTACGCTGACGATATACAGCTCTATATGTCCTTTATGCCACACCAGTTGGACAGGCTGGCCACCCTTGTACTCTGCCTGACCCAGATCAGTAACTGGCTGTCCAGCAACTTTCTTGTTCTCAACGCCAACAAGACAGAGACCCTGATCTCTGCACCCCCAGAACTTCAACCAAAAATCGAGCAGGAAATTGCCTCCTTTTGCCCATCAGCCAAGGCCAACATTAGAAACCTGGGAGTTATTTTTGATCCCGTTTTAAGTTTAGACTCACACGTCAAAACCATCTCCCGCTCTTGTTTCTTTCAACTGAGAAACATTTCAAAAGTCCGTAAACTGGTTTCTACTGCAGATCTGGAAAAAATAATCCATGCCTTTGTGTCATCACGCTTAGACTACTGTAACGCTCTTTTTACTGGTCTCAGCAAAACCTCCCTCTCACGCCTTCAAGCCATCCAAAATGCAGCAGCCAGACTCCTAACCAAATCCAGCAGACAAGCTCACATCACCCCAGTTTTACAGTCCCTCCACTGGCTCCCGGTAGAATTTAGAATACAGTTTAAAGTTTTAGTGCTGACCTATAGAGCTCTTAATAACCAGACTCCAAGCTATTTATCTGAGCTTTTATCCCCACACACCACTTCACAGAACCTCCGATCCACATCTGAAAACCTCCTGGCTGTTCCTCGAACCAGACTAAAAACCAAAGGGGACAGGGTCTTTCAGTCTATTGCCCCCAGACTTTGGAACAGTCTGCCTTCAAATCTCCGTCTCTTGAAATTTGTAGAGGTCTTCAAAAAACATCTTAAAACTCACCTTTTCATCCAGGCATTCCCCCGCTAAATATTCTAAAAGATGGCTTTGTTCTTGTTCACACCTTGACTTTGTTTTTACTCCTGATTCTGGTTACTGTTGTTGTCACTGCTATTGTTTTTATGATGTTTTTATTGGTTTGAGGTATTTGCCCTGATTTTACTCATGTTGTACAGCACTTTGTGATTTATATCTGTGAAAGGCGCTATATAAATAAACTTTACTTACTTACTTACTTCATTTATCAAAAAACACAGAAAAGGTAGCAAGGAACAAAGAGCAATTAACAAATATAAATAACCTGTACCTTCATGAAAATACAGCATTTGTAAAACAACAATGCATTTTTCAGAATAAATACCATATGGATGGTCACTTGCTGTGACAGTGACTGTATTAACAGATTTGTTGGGATCAATGCTAGCTCCACTGGTGGGGGTGGAGCCTGGCTTCCCGTCACCAGACTCTGCTGACACCAGGGTTACATGAAAAGACTCTGCAAGCTCTGGGAGGTTATCATCAAACACCAGCAGGTTCAGGGCCTGAGGGAAAGAGTAGCACACATTAGCTTTTCTACTATATGGGTTACTTAGTTTAAAAGAGCTGATCAAAGTTAGTTTTTAGAAACAGAAGCAATTGTTTTTGACCCAGTCCCTAATTGTTTATCTTTACCAACCTCTAGGAGGGGCTGTTCATCAAGAAACAAGACAGCTGGATAACTGTAACACCATTGATGATCAGTTATTTACCAAGCATTAAAAGTTTTACTGTGTATAAATGCAATGCACTATATTTCCCTAAGACTAGTTTAAGTTTAAAGTGCAAACTAAAGGCCACCCAGAGGGGCTTTCGCCACCTCATGTAAGATGTGCACCCACCTCTGAGCGATGTCCAGGCATGAAAAGCACAGACCCAGTTGCATTAACAAAATCTTGATAAGCTGAGCTGTTACTTCCCAGTTGTGTGACGGTATAGTTTACATTAACATGAGCCAGAGACCCCCGAGTGCGTTCAATCGTACAGGAGACGGTAGAGCCTTCTTCAGTGGTCTGTTGGAATATACACATCGATTAAAACACGCTAAGGATCAACGGAAAATGCCATGAATACCATTTGGATATATGACTGTCCGTTTACAGTGGCTTGTTATAATTGCAATAGCTTTACTATTTTTGGATTAACCAAATCTAACAGTAACATTTTTGATATAAAAAACAAATACTGGAAAGCAGATCTCCAGATGGTTAGATAAAATAGAGGCATTCTGGTTCTGATGGAATGCCATCTTCAAGCCCACCATCTGTTGTGTCAATGGAAATGTGGAGCAAGCATCTCCCATTTCCAGTGATGGAACTCCAGATCCACTTCCACAGGAATGCCCTGACTCACAGACCAGCTGTCGCTTCACCTGAGATGGCCCAGCAAGAGAGCACACTCATCCAATATGACTGAAAAGAGGCAGCATGCTCTCTCTGCAGCCAAGCATGCAGAGGTATAAAATATGCATCAGGACAGGAGCCGGCAAACCAATGGGTTTATATTACATGTGTTTCTATCTATGCATTTACTATGTAGGCAGTTGGTGATGGTATTCAAAACAACACAAGCACTTTGGGGGTCCATGTATCTTGAGAAGATAATAAATTACGTTGTGTATTGAAACAGGATGGTCAACTAAATGTCACCAACTCATAGCAACATAGTCTACTGTTGAGCCTCATCTCGACAACTGATTTTAAATGGTAAATGGTAAATGGCCTGTATTTGATATAGCGCCTTCTAGAGTCCTGGAACCCCCCAAGGCGCTTTACAACACAATCAGTCATTCACCCATTCACACACACATTCACACACTGGTGGGGATGAGCTACAATGTAGCCACAGCTGCCCTGGGGCGCACTGACAGAGGCGAGGCTGCCGAGCACTGGTGCCACCAGTCCCTCCGACCACCACCAGCAGGCAATGTGGGTTAAGTGTCTTGCCCAAGGACACAACGACAGCGACAGACTGAGCAGGGCTCGAACCTGCAACCTTCCCATTATGGGACGAGCACTTAACTCCTGTGCCACCGTCGCCCCCAAGCGTTTTAAAGCAAAACGCATCTGATAAAGAAAGACTCAACTAAAATCCCTACACCACCTTTGGAGGAAGCCAAGCTCAGAGCATCACTTCAGTGATACAGTACCATCCCTATAGTCAAACACGAGTGTGGCAGCACCGTGCTATGGGAACGGTTTTCTGTAACAAGGCTGGAAGATAAGCCAAAACAAAGAAGAAAATCAGATTCTTACAAATCACAATTTCAGTTCCAACCACGAAACAAACTAACAAGAACATATCAAACAAACTTTAAGATATGTTAAAAATGCAAGAAGATCAAGCAGACCTGAACTCAGAGAAACCTGGGTCTAGAAACGAAGCTGCATTGATGCTTCTCATTCAGCCTGATTGAAGCTTAAAGCTTTCTGCCAGGATAGGGTTAGGGTTATCAATCAACGATGTAAATACTGTTTCTTACATCTGGTATGCAGGGACCAGTGAATCCAAACAATCCATTGGCATTGTCACTTTTCATGATGCGTAAAACAGCAGTGGGTTTGGGAAATGGAAGACGTGCTCCACCCTGCACGGCCACCAACTGGAGATAGAACACCTCCTCTCCTTCCACCTCGTTATCATCCAAGACCTCCACCACAAACGACTTCTGCCTCTCGTCCTGCCTTAAGCGCAGGTACCCTGAGATAGTCCGCAGGTCTGTTTTAGGAGGCTGATTGTGGAGCTCGTGGATCTGGCTGCTGTTAAGCTTGGTATGATACAGGCGGACATCTTGGAGAAGGCCAGTGTAGCGCTGATCACCTACAACGTCGGAGCCAATGAACACCAAAGAAGGTCCTAGAGTAAAAAAAACATAAAATATTGCATATTTTTTTTAATATTATTAACATAAAGCATTCAATAATAAATAGAATCCTCATCATTTTTACAAATAAATAGAGAAAATATATAATGGGACATGCAAGTAGCTCAATGATGTGATAGTTTATGGCCCATGGGGTTTGTATGGGGTTTCATATGGGCCATTCCCATCTGTACCGGGTCGGCCCGGGCCGGGTAACGTAGGTTGTTTACATATCTGGGTGGCCTGGTATTTTTCCGGGCCAACCAAGGCTCATTCTCAGCCCTCTTCTCGAGGGGGTCTGCTTCAGGCCGACCAGGGCCAACACACCCACTGCTGACAGCAAATTCACACCTTCCATTAGAGCAAGCCTCTGATTGGTGGGTAGAATCAGCCCACATGGGCTTAAGACAAGGATGTGTGGAATCAACCGGGCCAGGCTGGGGCCGACTGGGGCTACCCGGCCCGGGCCAACCCGGTACAGATGGGAAAGGCCCATTAGACCCTTTCAAAAGTAAAGATGGACCAAACCCCCTGTTTTCTAGATGCTGTTAGTTGAAACTCTTGCATTGTTTCCATGCTTTACTAAAAATTTGGCAATGACACCCAGACACATGGTTATTTATGGTAATTTTTATCTAAGATAAAAAAACTGAAATCTTTCAATGTTTCCACTTTTGTTTAAGACATGCTAACAGCTAAAAAGTTCCATAACTTCACTATAATTAGACATTTGACTTGATTTGCCAGCTAAAGAAAACAATTATCATGTGAGACACCTATTATTAATGGTCAAACTAATGTGGTTGCTTTGATTTTAATGAGCTGGGATCACGAGGAGAATCTTGATTAAGGCCACCAGATGCCCAGATCCAGCACCTTCTCGTTACTTATTTACACACTTACACCTCTCATTCCAATTACTTCCTGTACTTGCATATAAAATGCAGCCAGTCTCCAAGAGTCAGCAAAATAGCTCATCTGTGAGCTGAGACTCCTGTTGTAAACAATTAGATTATTTTATCTAAATGAGCGTTGACAGGAAGCTGCCAGAGAGGCTTGAGGGTATTTCTCCTCAGATCTTTTGGGCAAATACAGGCTATTGTCTGTGATCATTATAAGACTGGCTGATTCTCTTCAGTGTTAATAATGACATACAATGACAAGGCTACGCAGCCACTCAAGCATTGCAAAGCCCCAGTGGTGCAGAACAAAGAGGTGGCAACTGAATTGTTCATGAGGGTGACAGTTCACATACATCTACTGTAAATGTAAGACCAAGGGCTCCTACAATGTGTGTGAAATGCCAGACAACTAAGAAACCACCTATCCTGAAAACCATTTAAAATAACTGAAAGCACATTTAATTATAAACAACTTCCCTCAAAGTATCTTAAATGTTTAACCTGCAGCTCAAGTGACCTCTAATGCAAAACAGATTTATGAATTCAATAGATTGGTGAGATCTGACCAATAAAAGCTGTCATAGCAAATTTGGAAAACAAGTGCGCCTAAAACATTGTTGGCTCTTGAAAACCTTCTAATATTGTATAGCCATAAATAAACTGTTGAGATTTTAAAAAAAAGTTGTTCTCTTGCATTTGTCTAAAAACCAACACCAATAACACAGTTCAGACCGAAAGCAACTACTGGACCATCTGGTTGTCGGATTTGCCGAACGCCACACTTCCCTGAGTCCTCCATTCATTACGCACTTGCATATTAAGCAATAGAACACCACCGGTGTGAGGTTTTCCGCTCAGTAATATCAGAGAAGAAGAAACAAGAAACCGCTTCAGCTTTAGAACAAACCAGAGTCCCAAAAATTAAAACACCGTTTGAAGTCACAGACAACAAAACAGGGTTGGACCTAAAAATGGCGACTGGTGTTTAGCTCTATGTTGTTTCTTCTGGTAATGTGGGTTTCTGGTTCTGGAAGTTGCGGGTCCAAGGAAAATACCCAAGGGGAGGGGTAAATGTTCCAAGAACGTGTCTGCGTTCAAAACCCAGCATGGTTACAGATTAGCCATAATAACTTTAAAGCCATGCAAAAAAGTAAAAAAAAAAAAACAGTTGCACCGTTTATAATTACATATTGAATTTGCATCATAAAGCAACTCACCATCATTGATGCCTTCTCCTTTTATGCTCTTCAGTCCACCAGGTATAGGGGCCCCATTCAAAAGGAGCTCAACTATCCCATCATCACATGTTATGATGACATTCAGCCATGTGTTGTCATCCACAAACTTCTCTGCGGTTGCTCTGGCCACTTGGGTATTATTTGAACCCATCGCTGTATAGTACAGCATCACTGTAACATGCGACGCATTGGTGTGGACCTTCACTCCATAATAAAGGCTCCCATTTCTGATCCCCTTTGACATTATGAAGCCATCAGTGTTCTGCTTGGGCACCAGCCAAGCAGAGAAGGTAAAGTTACCAATAGCGGCAGGTGAATCTTCAAGAGAGATGGTCCCATAAGCTCCTGGATGCCCAGAGAAAAACCTAGCATCTGTGCCTGAGTGGTGTCTCCTGTCGTAAGGTCTGAGCTCAACTTCATCAGGAAAAGAACCGAGGAGCAGCAGGTCATCCATGAGGGGAAGCCCCTGTGGGAAGCGATCAGACACAATCTCCCAGGAAACTCTCACGTCACCAAAAGTGCCCTGCTGTCGGAGAATGGTGTACGATGTGACATCGGTCATATCATCTTTAGAGAGGACATCTTCAGCTACTTCTTGGTCCAAGTTGGTGGGAGCAATAGCAAAGACACCAAATGGGTCATCGTTGAAGGGGATGAGAACAGAAGCGTTGAGAGAAGTCTTGGCTAGTTTTCCACCCTCTCCTGGGTAACCACCTTGAATAAATTATGGACAAAAGTTCAAAAGTTTCAAAGATCATTTTAAATTATTTATTAGATGACAATTAAGTAAACAATTGTATGAATAAGCTTGACTTAAATGTTTGCAATACAATTTAAGTCGGTAGAATTAAAGTTACCATGTACTCACCTGAAACATTTACCAGCCTCAGGACATAAAACTCATTAAACTCTGGAAGCTTATCAGAGATGGCCTTCAGGACAATGGGCTTGCTTTTTTCACCTGTAGTAAAGGTGATGGACCCTGATATGTTTATAAACTCCTGGTTCTCCTCCAGAGGAGTTACAGAGTCATTGGCAAACAGCTGCCAGAAGACTGTTACATTACCAAAATGTCCCCTTGCTCGTAAAACACTATAACCAAAGAAAAAGGAAAAACAAGCATTAGGTTACAAGTATAACCTCTTAAAATCTAGACTTCAAAATGAAATAACCTTACAAGAAATTATTGGATTTGCCCTCTTCGACAGGTTTTTCTACAGTTTCCAAAGAGAAAATTCCATTTGCATCATCGTTGGCCTCAATCACCACCGTAGCTGTGTGTGCTCCGTACACAACAGCATCACCTGTGAAGCACGTAAATCATCAAATTAGATCTCAACCTAAAATGCAGCTGTATGAATAAACAGGCAGATAGAACTACAAGGACTCCGCGAACATTGTTGGAACCATTGCTATGTAAATTCCATGCACTAGAGGGGGGTTGTCTCATTCACACAACATCCCATCATCAGCATACAATAACTATGGCAACAAGGCCCAGGAAAGTCTAGAAACAAAAAAATGCTTCTAGAGAAGGTGAGGTATGATGCCTTTTATATTATTGGGGGACTGGATGGTAAATTGGAGCTGCTAAATCTCCTGTATTACTTTATGTGTCCACAGACTTCAAGAGCATTATATTTGAGTAGAAGTCAGTAAAGTTGGGTGTTTTGAGTCTTAGTCTGATTTCTGATAAATAAACTGTTGCAAGGACCTACTCAACTTTTACTACTGAGTGAATCTGAATGATGGGGGTTCCATTTTCAATAACTTTTCTATACATAGACAAACACGACCTGTACAGTATTTGTCTTCTCCTTTCTAAAAAGAAATTAGCCGCTGATGCAGATTATCTTGATGACAGAAAAGATGCCTTTAAATTAAAATTAACAGTTATTCAGCCTTCCTAATGTAAAACGTATGACAGGATAATTAAAAGTGAACATCAGTATGAATAGGACCTTTTATACCTGAACACTTTATATATCTGCTTCATCAAAATATTAAATTCTCAAATTTTCTCAGAATTTTTAAAAATTTTGAACAGTTATGAAATAATCTAAGAACAAAAGTATATTTTCATAGCATGAACCACTTTGTGATCATATAATTTTTATACGCTAAAAGATAATCTCGGTGACAATGTTTTATTGTACTGAAATAATCTACTGAAATGGAATATTACTCAAAAATATTTATATTTAAAGGGAATGAAAATTGCCTTCCAGGTGTTTGTGCGTCTGTTCCCAATAAAGAAGTAGATTAAGCATATTAACAACATATTTGAATAATATTGTAAAAACATTAATAATCATTAATCAAAAAGCCTCTTTTAGAGACTTTAACCAGTCTCTCTGAGGCAAATCACCCAGGTTAACACTAATGGAACCCACAGATTTCATAGTAATTTTTTCATAATGCGTTATCTGATCAACTTTATTTCAGTACTTTTCTGTTTTACTTTCTCTCGCCCCTTCCAAAGGAAGCCTGAACTTACCTGTAGCATTATAGAGAACAATGTAAAACAGTTCATCAGTCTCAGGTGTGTCATCATCTTTAATAGCCACAGAGATGTTCTTCATCCATTCCCCCACATTGTACACCAACAATGTGTCATTAGTTAGAACTGTGAGGTCATCAGGTAAAGCACCGCCATACGCCACTTGGTACATCACTGAAGCGACATAGTCAGCTTGACCGGCCCTCAGGACAGTGAAGTTGGCCACGCCCCCTTCAGGGACACACACCATGGTGGGTTCTGAGGTGGAAGGGGTAGAAAGGGTCACATAAGAGAGATGGCTGGTTAATTGTAGCTGTGATGGCTGTTCAGATGGTCCACCATAGATATATTACCAGAAAAGTAAATGGGGTCATCGTTCTTATTGATCCATAAATTAGCTCTGAGTATGGTTCCCAGCCTTGCTCCACCGGTTGCATTTGATAGGATAATAGTGAAATTCTCCATGTCTTCTGGGATCTTATGCAACAAAAAGTACAAAAAAAACAAAAAAACATTAGAGCTGAAAAAGAAGCAACCATGATGACTGAGCACTTTTACAAATTGAGTTGAACATCTTACCTCATCGGCTACAGAAAAGACTGTGAGGTTTTTCAGGTACTCTCCTTCCCTGAAGGTAATGTTTCCCTGGAGGGGGGTAACGTCCCTGTTCAGGAGCGGCTCCACGAACCATGAAACTGACACTTGCTCAAAGTGGCCCCTGTTCCTCACTATGGGATATACTGCTGTAGGAATTGAACAGAGATCAGTTAATGAATGTTTTTTTTTATGAACTGGAGCTTTATGATTTGTGGTTTCTTGTCTTGTATAACTTTACACAAGGACTTACAACACAATTATTAATATTCAGTTTTAATTAACATGCATCTTACAACTATTTTTAAGATTCAATTCGACAAAAAAAAAGTATCAATATCCTTCTGTTTACCCTGGAAGATTGCATTCCCTTTGCTCTCATTGATGGTCACTGACAGCCCCGATTGGATGAACTCAATGACTCCAAAAGGGTCGTCGTTCTTCCTCACAGTGATGATGACCTCCTTGTGGTTGCCAAGACGACTGGGTGGAGTACTATAGCTGCTGAGTACTACAGAGTAAGTCTCATCAAGCTGCATGCACGTGGAGACATAACACAAACACAGATTTCATGGAAGTTAAAGACAAATAAAACATGTTTATGAATGAAATGAGGTGTGATGCTGCTGCAAGGTTAAAAGACTTTTGTATGTTGACAAACAGAAGAGAAATGAAAACAAGAAACTAAATAGATGTGTTGGTTGTATTTGTACCTCAGGTATCCCATCAGGTATGGCGACCAGGGCCACAACCACATCTTTCTCTCCAGGTTTAAACTCCAGGATGCCCGTAGCGCCGTAGAACTCGGTGCTCCCTGAAGGCATCACGGCATATCGGATCAGCTGCTTCAGAAGTTGTCCCTGAGCTCTGACCACGTGCAGCTCCAAGGTCTCGCCCTCCTAGGGTTTTAAAATCAAAAGACCAAAAATGATCAATAAAAAATGTTGTCAACTATTAAAGAAATCACCAACACAAGTACCTAAAACTGATAACAGCACAAATACCTGAGATCTTAGAAATTCTTTAACAAATTTCACTCAAAATAACGTTTGGGAGGAAACGATTCTCAAAGATGCTTTAACATCACAATAAAACAAAATGCCGATATTCAATGCCAGTGCGGTCCAATCCTGGTCCTTGAAAGCCACCATCCTGCATGTTTTAGTGGTTTCTCTGCTCCAGCATTAATCAAATAAATCAATAAAAAGTATTTGTATAGCCCCTTCTACCAGCTTGACAAAGGCCCAAGGTGCTGCAGCACATAAAACATAGAAAGACACCACATTAGAAAAAAAAAAGAGATAAAAAAGCATAAAAGCAATAAAATAGAAAAACACAGGTGAAAACAAAAAAACAGGTAAAAATACGAAAGCCAGTGTCAGTGATGTTGCTAACTAGAAAAAATGGGTTTTTAAGCGAGACCGAAACACCTGGTGAGATGGAGCTTGCTTTACTGTTACAGGGAGTTCATTCCAAATGGTTGGAGCCATTACTGAGAAGGACCGGTCCCCCCTTGATCTCAGTTTAGAGCGAGGGACTTCCAACAACTCCTGCCCAGCGAGCGAAGGGCTCAAGAGGGGACACACCTGTACAACAATGTAGCTAGACAGAGTGGGGCAGTGCCCTGATCACATAGAGAAGAATCTTGAATCTCAATCAGCATACCTGATTTAAACCACTAGCTGATGTATGTAGTAATACCCTACACTGATGAAAAGGCTTTTGTAGAACTCAAGGAGACACTGAACAAGTAAATTAACCATGAAATCAGGGATTTGAAACAGGGAAAAATAGATAAAGCAGGATAGAAGCTTTTCACTCTTTTTTGGAATGCACTGCACCTCTACTTACCACAAACTGGCCCTGGTGTGGAGAAAAACACAACTTTCAGGAATTGCACTATTGCACCATGCTTACATTGATAAACCATGGACCTCTGGAAAACTGGGAGAACTCAAATACTCCTCCTGGGTCATCGTTCTCCATGATGACAAGCTCTCTGCTGGTGAAGCCAGCCTTCAGGACCTGATTCTCCATGTTACTCCTGGCACAGAGAATCACAAAACCACACAAAAAAGCACATTATTTGTAAATCTGGCTGATTAAAAAAATATATCAATATAATACACATCAGGTGGATTTTGCAGCTGTTTCTGGGACCTTCACGTCAGCTGATAGTTGTCAGACACCACAAAATCCAAGCAGCAGGAACAAAAGCTAAATGGCTCAACTTGAACTCCTCAATGCATTCTTTGTATTGTCTGGTGCACATTCACTATTACCTCCATATGCCGAACTCCTGCTGTTCAAACCACTTTTAATAACAATGTCAATTAGCTGTGTGTCTGCGTCAGTATACCTCCACAGGGGTGTGTGTATTTGTGTGTACGCTGAGAAAACTGGAGCCAAACGAGCGTAATATAAAGGGTATTAAACAGAAGTGCCATACAAAGACAGACTGAAGCACTCCAAACAGTCACAGCAAAGGGGCTGCATGCATGGAAACACTGCCATCTTTAAAAGGCGACATAATCAAGGCTGGTTAAACTGGAGCAACAACACATTAGCACTCTATTTAGTCCTCCTCTGAAGGCAAAAAACCCTCTTTTTTTATTCAGCTTTTTTCCACACCATTGGAGAACCCCCCCCCCCCCCCCCCCCCCCCCCCCCTACCCAATCCCTGCCTTCCTCATCCCCGTCCCTAAACCCAGAAGTAGGCACTTCTCAGAAAAACACAGACCTGATTCAAGCCACACAAAGGCCCGGGTTCACTTCACTCTCCACTTACCCAAAGTACACTATAAAGTGTGCAGCCTCCACCCTGCAGGGGAGGAGTGGGATGCAGAGAAAGCCACAGTTCTCATCAGAACACAGACTGCAACTCCCACCCCAAACACTCTAAAAGACGTAATTCAAACTCACAACGCGAATACTTAAAAGTTCCACGAGAAAGATTCTTAGGATCTGAGGTGCCTGTCCCCCACCTGTCAAGAGTAAGCAGCAAGGTCTCGTTGACTTCTGGGATGTCGTCAGCAAAGATGGTGAGATTGATGAAAGCATCACTCTGTCTGGAGAGGAAGACGACAGAGCCATTGAACGGCTTCAGGTCATTAGAAGTCACGTCTTCTCTATTGGCTCCGGTGGGATGAAGGCTCCAGAACACCACGGCCTGACCATCAGTTCCATCACGCCGCAGAGGGAGGCTAACCTGTACCAGACATCATTCCAATAAGCTTAAACACATAGTGATCTGCTGAACAAAAGCTTCTAATGTCCTAACACAAGTTAGAGCACAGATGTTCACATCTCACCGTGGTGGCGTTGCTGTCCTCTGGTTCGTTCAGCACCACCGTGGTGTTGCTTGTAAAGCCGATTTCCCCGTTGGCGATGTCAGGGGTGACAGTCAGTGTCAGGTTTAGGGGTCCCCCAAACCTTGGGCTGTTTGAAGTAATCGCGGGACTGATGTCAACCAGATCCAATGTACTCAACTAGAAACAGTGGAAACGTAACAGCTTACGGAAGGCTCAAACAAGATAACAAGCTCATGTAACTAGGGCATGTTACGGTCAAAAATGACTTGTTGATGAAAGATGATCCCTGTTTGCATTTTCCCCCTTGTGCATAATTATGTAGTAGGTAATAAAAGTCAGAATATGTGTAAGAATCTGATGTTTGGACAGCTGGGCAAATCCCATAGAACCCTGCCAGACCTGAGTGCCAACGTCAAACCATTCACACATGCAAATAAGGCACTTAGACCTTGGACAGGGCTAACTTTGGGCTAAAACATGCAAACAAAAAGAAAAGAATGCATTTCTTTCAGAGGTTACCACAGCGTTGTCTCATACTTATTACCTGTATTAAGAAATGAGCTCCATTCTGCAGAAAGGCGTCGTTCCTGATGGGCAGTATGACGCTGACCACGTGCTCACGGGAAAAGAGCACATTAATAGACCTGCTACCATTTAGAATTTGATCACGGGCCAGAGCTGGGTCTATCGGACCAGCAGGAATGTAGAGAGCGGTGAGGGTCATGGACACGTTCCCAAGCATACCGCCATCTCTCACCAAACTTAGCGACAGAAATCGACCTTCAGGTTCGCTCTGGATGCTCTGCTCCTTGGCTGGGTTAAACTGGAAAAGCCCATAGACATCATCACTGTCCTGGATGTAGAAGACCATCTTTCAAGGAAGACAGGGAAAAAAGTAGAAAAGCTTTTTGTTATTAAGTGGAAGTCTGACCATTCTTCATTCTTTAAAAGCCTAATTCAAATGAATATGCAGGTTTATTTTAAATTACATTTGAGGAATCGTTGATGTTTTCTGTTTTTGTGAAGCTCTGGTTATATATATTTTTTTTACTTTTTTAGTGAAAGAAATAGAAATGAGAAGCAAGTAACCAAAAGAGGAAAAAAGATGAGGCTAAAAACTGAAAAACCAGAGCTGTGAGCTAACTTTAGAGCGGCATCCTCTTTAATTAACTCTCCTAAGACTGCTAAAGTAGTTTCCACAAGCGTTGAACTGCGGGATGTTCACTTCTCTGGAGCATAAATGTGTCTGGTGAGTGTCACATAAATACCAGCTGATTCAGAGCTCACTTTATGTGCATGCATTCATCTTTATGTCCTGTGTTTCATCACCATTGCTTTATTATTCTTAGACAAATATTTACTAAGAGCGACGGTGGCACAGGAGTTAAGTGCTCGCCCCGTAATCGGAAGGTTGCAGGTTCGAGCCCCGCTCAGTCTGTCGCTGTCGTTGTGTCCTTGGGCAAGACACTTAACCCACATTGCCTGCTGGTGGTGGTCGGAGGGACTGGTGGCGCCAGTGCTCGGCAGCCTCGCCTCTGTCAGTGCGCCCCAGGGCAGCTGTGGCTACATTGTAGCTCATCCCCACCAGTGTGTGAATGTGTGTGTGAATGGGTGAATGACTGATTGTGTTGTAAAGCGCCTTGGGGGGTTCCAGGACTCTAGAAGGTGCTATATCAAATACAGGCCATTCATTATTTGCTTTGTGCAGATGGCAAACAAATTCTGCATCCGTCCAATCTGAAACCGGGTTTTGATGAGTGACATCTTGTGTCTTGAAAATAAACAAGACTTAGATCTGCCCACGCTTTCACACATGGCCAAAAGGCTCGGTCAAACGATGGAAGCCACAAAAGGCTGTCACCACTTCAATCCCGCTTAAAAAGAAAACAGAGTCCCCACTTACTGAGTGCGCCTGCTGTTTCCTTTGTTTTGATTCGGCCACATTAAGGGAACACCCACAGAGCAAAGTTATGCACCATGGGGTCCACTTCTGCAGAGTTTGCCAAGACTGCAAATGTAACTTAGAGTAGGTGGAAGACACGTGTGAAGCACATGCAGCAACAGCTACAGGGTGCGTTCTCCAACAAATGCAGCCTAATTTATTCTCTGTCACACAAAGCTTAAAGAATTCTTCTAAACTGACCTGCATAGGTTCACCGAGCTCCGCGTTTCCAGTCGTGGTGTTGGGCAGCAGTTTAAAAACGAAAGCTTCCGCTTCTTCAGGCTGAGTGTCAGACACGATCGTCAATGAAATCGCAGCAGTCACCTGACCATCAGTAAATCTCACTGTCCCAAAAGCAGGAGTCAAGTCGTCTGACACCGGGGAGCGATCGCTGGAGTTTCTGCTGATGGACCAGTTGGCAGACACAGCGCCGTAGCTTCCTCCGTTTCTCACAATGATGATACCATCAAACCTAGAGGAGTCAAAGGTGTAGAATAATTTAATTTTGATTCACTACAATAAAAAACTGCTGTAAAGAATAATAGTCATTGTAAAGTAAAGTATTTTGAAGTTGTCCACCTCTGGGTTGTATCTTCATTGATGCTGATTGGCTGAACTAGAGCACTGCTGCTCATTGACAGAACCCCATAAGGCTTGTCATTGGGCTCGATGGTCACCAGCACGGCGTTGGGCGATACCAGCACAGCATCTCCTCTGATGGTCTCCTCCAGTAAAACCAGATGGAAGGATTCTGCGATTTCTGGCACCGTGTCATCAGTGATGTTGAACAAGAGGCTGATGTTGTTGACATACGGGTGGAATGTGATGGTTCGGACAGGCTGTAGGTCGACGAAATCTACTGCTGGAGTTGCGCTGCCCAGTCCTTGACCACTCACCACCATGTACTCCACAGACACCTACAGATAATAAAATCTAGTGTTTTACATGGAAAAACATATTGTGCAATTACAACTAATAAAATGAGTGTGAAAGTCATCAAAATGAAGTCAGAGAGACCAAACCTGAGTGTCAATGGAGCCAATGAGAGGCCCGTCTTCAGTCAATTGGCCACGGGTCACACTGAGGGCGATGACCCCAATAGACTCTGACACAGCCATGGTGGCAACAGAGAAACGCAGCGGGCTGTCATTTCTCCGGATTCTCAGCAGCACACTGCTAGCATTGGGGCTGAGAAGGGCTCCACCCGCTACACCCGTTAGCTTCACTGAAAACACCTCATCGTTCTCCGGTATCTGGGCCACAAAGAATACAACGGTTCACACATGTTGTACAGATTCAGATATGATTATGAAACCAATTAAAATTCTACAAAATACTCCAGAAAATGTAGATAAACCTCATTGACAGATAGAGATAAACCCACCTTAGAGGTTGTGCGTTTACCTGGTCATCTTTAATGAGGATGCTGAAGTTCACTGCAGCCTGCCCAACAGGAAAAGTGATGTTCCCTCTATCTGGACTGAGATCCTCAAAAGCAAAGTTTGGCCCATCAGAAATCTGAACGGATGGTAGCAGTGATGATTAAACAGATTTACAAAGAGTCAAAAGCATTCTGATAATAACAAGTGAAGTGTATGTGTTTGAAACATTTGTAACATTGGTTAATATTGCACATGCAATGTTATTAAGGTGAATTAATGTACAGCATGGTCACCTCAAAGTTCACAGTTACGGTTCCATAGGTTCCCTTTTCTCTTATTAATATGAAAGGCACAGAAAGGCTCCTTCCTCTGGGTTCATCAACAACAATCTGATCAGTCTGAGAACAAAAAAGAACCATAAACAGTTATGCTTAATCAATGCTAACTTGATTTAACTTATGTAGAAATAAGAACATTTTAAAATAAAAAGCAGGTTTTCTTACAGAGTTGAAGGCAATTATTCCAAAGGCGTTGTCATTGGACAGGATGGTGATTTTAGCCTTGTTTGGCATTCCCAGTGTAACACCGTTAGAGGAACTCTGTAAAATGTTTAAAAGAGTGACAAAACCTGGTGAAATATACAGTTTTTACATCTATATCTTTTAACCGTTCCCCTAACACCCGGGGCACACGGTGCGTTTTTCATTCGGCCCAGAAAAATCCCTCTTGGTGAACAGAGTCATAAAAAAAAAACGGGGAACACGAGGAACATTTTAAAGTCGGTGACCGGCCCAGCGACAGCTCATGACCAAGCACAGCTCAAAAACTTTTGACTCCTGTCTGCTGTCGACCAATAAAAATACACCCAGGGAATGACGCAAAAAAATTTGTGACAAAGAGTACAATGTGAGAGTAACATTAGCAACATTTGCAAGAGTGGAGGCTACATGGAGGAACATGTGGACTGCTCCTTTTTGGAGTTTGGCTCAGAATCTTATAAAAGAAATGTTAAGGGTGGCACTTTTTTCTCTTTCGTCTTTCTTGTCATGGGCATCTGTCAGCGACGTGTGCTTTTCGGCGAGTAAGCTCATGACATTAGTGTGTCCTGCTAGAAAGCGACATAGTGCAGTTTGGCTCACTGAAATCTTGGACCGTAGTGTGTGCCACCTCTTTATAGAGTCCCCACAGTGGGAAATGAAGCAGTCCTGCAGCTGAAAAACACACAGCCTGGCCCAGGCTTAGGCGTTAATCCGAATGGTATCTGCTGTTTTCACTTCAGTCAAGTAAACCCACTGAGATGCCCTGGTGAGAAGGCACATAGACAGGAAGTGCTGGTTTCTAACCTGCTGCCCTCTCAGGTTATTCCTCTTCGAGATCTTCGCTTTGCTCTGACATTCAGCACTAAAACCCAGCAAACGTTGAGACTTAGTAGTTTAATCACCTGTGCAGCAGCGCATCAGGCTCCGCAGAAGCCTGTTAATCACCTGCTGATTGACATCAGGTGTGTTGGAGCAGGGTTGAAACTAAAACATACTGCAGTGCATACCGGCCCTCCAGGACCAGAATTGAAAGCCCCTGTCCTAAACAATATCCCAATAACACTGTGGTGAAGCTTTTCTTGTTACTTTTAGTGAGCTTCAGCAAGAATTTGCAGTATTTATTGAACACCAACAACAAATTAGAGCCAGAAACACAATCACATACTAAACAAACGATACAGCAGAAACAGATTCATTGAATGATTAATGAAACCAGCTTTTATGTTCTATGACATTGTTTGTTGCATGTATTCACATTTCATTCGTCCTGGAATTTTGATTTAACTACAACATTTTCTAAAAGGTAGAGAAAGAGACTTTTTCTTCCTGCTGTTCTGAGCTGCAGTGGAGAATACACATGGCTGACAACGAGTGATTTGAAATGACCTTTGTCTTAGGTCTTTGACTGAGGGGGGTGTAAACAAGACAAGCCCCCACCCTCCGTCATCTCATCAATCAAACCTGACAGCTAAAAGCTGCATGAAACCATGGAGACTGTCTCTCAGTGTGAGGCATCCCTCAGCAGTGATGTGATCCTTTTGATAAGTTTACAGCATAGACAAACTCAGACTTGTTCAAAATCTTTTAACTGCCTGCAGTTGTCCTATTAATAGATTTCCAGATTAATAACTCAATAAAGCTATACTGTATAACAAAACTTGCAACCCATCTTTTCAGCCAAAGAGACAGCAATTCTAATGAAGTAGAAAGTACAGATGTTCTAAATATCCCCATTTAATTCTCAGCTTCCCATCTGAACCTGGGATTGTGCCTGTGGTGTGATCACACTTCCCAGCCTCCTTGGAAAGGTCTACTCCAAGGTACTGGAGAGGAGACTCTGGTTGATGGGTGAATCTTGGATTGAAGAGAAGCTATGAGGTTATTATCCTGGCCATGGAACTAGGACTAACCCTTTACCCCTGCTATGGGTGCTGGAGTAGTCACGGGAGTTTGCCCAAACGGTCGTCAAGTGTTTTGTAGATAGATCTGGAGAAGGCTTATGTTCCAACACATTCTCACACCTGAAGCGGCTAAAACTGACGCAAGGTGATCAAGCGTTTGTTTCCCGGGAGGCGGCGCGCTGTGCCGGAGCGTTGCTTTTCGACGTCCTTGGTAAAATGGAGATTTCACCGAATTGTGACCTTCACCCTCTTGTAATTTAACCTTCCCCTCACTTCCACCCTAACCTTAAACCATTTGCGCATTAAAAATTTTGTAGGTGTATCGTCCATGTCAAACACGGTTAACGAGTAGTTTAGAATGAGAAACTGGGTTAAGGTTAGGATGGGGGTGAGGGGAAGGTTAAATAGCAAGAGGTTAAATGCCGGTGAAATGTGTGTTTTCCTACGGGCTTCGGAAACTGATGTTCTGGCACAGCACGTCGCCTTCCTACGCATTGGGGCTTCCGACTCATTGGAAACAAACACATTGTCACCCTTTGTCAGTTTTAGCTGCTTCGGATGTGAGAATTTGTTGCATGTTCATATCCCTAGGGGCACCGGGGGAGATGGCTTTTCTTCACAAGTGTTATAAAAATTTGATTTTAACTTTTGTTGACAAGTTTCAGCGAAACAAATCATTATTACCATTTGTGCAGAAAAGGACCAAATAATGGAATTTGATAAACAACAAAGAACGAACATACCAAAGACATGCAGTCCCTGTACCAAGGGAGAGTACATATGGTTCACGTTTCTGGCAGGAAGATGGACCTGTGCCCAGTGAGGGTTGGACTCTGTTCTAGCAAGTCGTTCTCATTTCTTCTTTTTGCAGATGATGTGGTTCTTTTGGTTCCATCAAACAACAACATTCATCTCTAGCTAAGAAAGTTTGCAGCAGAGCATGAAGGGGCTACGATGAGTATCAGCACCCCCAAATGCAGAACCAAGATTCTCGATCGGAAAAGAGTGGATTACTACTGGGACAGCAGTAGCTCAGGAGGTAGAGCAGGGTGTCCAGTAATCGGAAGGTTGCAGGTTTGATCCCGGTTTGATCCCAGCTCCGACCAGAGATTTCTGCAGTTGTGTCCTTGGGCAAGACACTTAACCAGCCTTGCCTGCTGGTGGTGGCCGGAGCCTCACCTCTGTCAGTGTGTTCCAGGGCAGCTGTAGCTACATTGTAGCTCATCCCCACCAGCGTGTGAATGTGTGTGTGAATGGGTGAATGACTGATTGTGTTGTGAAGTGCCTAGGGGGTGGGGGTGGGTGGGGTGGGGGGGGGGGGGGTTATAGAACCCTAAGAAGGCGCTATACAAATACAGGCCATTTACTAACTCTGGGTTGGGGGTGAGATCCTATCTCTAGTGTTGGACTATAAGTATTTTGGGAATGAGGAAGCGAGAGCTTGGCAGGAGGATCGGGCATTGTTGCGGGGATTCAGACGCTGAATCAGGCTGTGGTGGTGAAGAGGGAGCTAGGCAATAAAACAAAGCCTTTCTGCCAATCCTCAAATCTGGTCATGCGTTTTGGTAAATGACTGAAAGAGCAAAATTGTGAATACAAGCAAAATGAATGTCCTTCATAGGGTGGCTAGACTCAGCCTTATAGATAGGATGAGTATCTCTGAAATTCGGGACAGCAGCTGCTCTTCCATGACAAGAGGAGCCAGCTGAGGTGCTTCGAGCGTTTGGTTAGATACCACCCACGAGCAGAGCTTCGAGCACGGAGACCCCCAGCTGGAGGGGTTACGTTATCTCATTGGCCATTGAATGTCTTGGGGTTCCATTGGTGGAGCTAAGGAAGGTTATTGAGAAGAGGACAGTTTGGACCTCTCTGCTGGATCTGCTACCCCGGGAACCAAGACCTTGATAAACAGAGATTTGGGATTTCTGATCAACCAAGAGTTGAATTGGATAGGGAAAATTTGGCGCATGAAAACGTAGCTAGTGTGAAGATGCAAGCGGCAAAAAAAAAAAAAACAACTATAAATCCTTCCCAGTTGTCTACTTATTCAAATGAAATCAGGAAGGGCAAAATAAAGAGCTGCATTTTTTGACACCCAATTGCAAATTTGATCTCACTCAAAGATGTTTAAAGAAATTAATGAGAAATTCCGAGGAATTATTTAGAACACCTGCATGCAAAAGCAAAAAGAACATCATAGAAAGACTTGACACAAATATGAGATCTCTCCAAATATGCCTGTCAAGGTTACATTGTTCTGTTGATAGGGAACGTCACACAAACAGCCACACAACAATCTGCTCCACTCTAAGCTGCTGTGCAAAAGTCCTCCAGATCTCACACATCAAAGACGCTGCAGCTCGTAACCACCCAGGGTTTTCTGCCCACATTGTTACATGGAGTTATGCTTTCACAGAAGCAGGGGCAGAAAAAAAATAAATAAATAAATAAAACAAGACGCTGATATATGAAGATCCAAAGAAGGAAACAAAGAACAGTGAGTCCCCAAGTAAACTACGAAAAATGAGAGGTTTACCTGTAGTTTAAGGCTGAAGATAAATGTCTCGTCTTCCTCTGGGATGTCGTCATCTCGCACAGCTATGAAAATGGTTTTACTGGACTCGGTGGACAGAAGGAAGGCCGCCGCATTGACAGCTTCAAAGTCCCCTGTGTCGACTCCCTCTAGCTGAGCAAAACAAGCTAATGTCAATGAAATATCAGCATCCATGGAGTTTGATTTGTTTGAAAATAAGACAGGGATCTCCTGGTCTGAACTGGATATCTTGATAATAATCTGATATATATGAGGACAACCAGCTATCCCTGTTTAAATTCTCATTATCTCTTCTCTCAATTGGAGATCCAACTGTTTTTTTTTTCAGGATGACCAAGCTTGTTTTTTTGTTGTTGTTGTTATTGTTTAAATGAAGCCAAATAATCGTCTAACCTACCAGAACCAAAGCTGTCACATTGACTGGATCTCCCACTCTCTCTACCACCAATCGGACCACGGCTGTGCTGGTCTCGTTCACAACAAAGTCAGTTTGGCCCAGGAAACGTAGCGTGGCTGACTCGGATGTGTCAGGGACGGACAGAGCCAGAATCAACCCAGCTAGCAAGAGGACAGGGAGCATTC